GGCGGAGCAATTGTCGGCGGAGCAAATGTCGGCGGAGCAAATGTCGGCGGAGCAAGTGTCGCTTCAGGCGGAGCAAATGTCGGCGGAGCATCTGTCGGCGGAGCAATTGTCGTGTTTTGCGGAGCAATTGACAGCGGAGCAATTGTCGGCGGAGCAATTGTCGGCGGAGCAATTGTCGGCGGAGCATCTGTCGGCGGAGCAATTGTCGGCGGAGCAATTGTCGGCGGAGCAACTGTCGGCGGAGCACCTGTCGGCGGAGCATTCGACGTCGGAGCAAATGTCGCGGAGCAAATGTCGCGGAGCAATTGTCGCGTTTTGCGGAGTAAATGTCGGCGGAGAGCAATCGTCGGCGGAGCATGTGTCATGGAACCAAACAGAAGTTTTCTGGCATGAACTTTTATTAAAAACATTATTATATTTACTTTGAGAAACATGTACTGTACATACTGAAGAATACAACTTTGCACTAGGAAGTTTGAATGTTAAGATTGCTAATATGGTGCTGGTATTATATGGTAGTCTCGCTGCAGTTTCATACAATTTACTGTTCGGAATGAGAGAGTGGAATTGTGGTGGTAGTACCGGTAGTGGTAGAAGTAGAAGTAGTCATATTAGTCTTAGTAGTTGTAGTAGTAGTCATTGCAGCAGGAGTAACAGTGAGTTATAGTGATAGTAATCACAAATTTCCATTGCTTTTAGTTCTAGGTTTCTAATCATAATTTTTGAAGTATAAAACTTCATGTATATGGGGACACCCCCCCCCCCCCCCTTTGCTCAAAAACAAAAACAAAATCAGACTACAGTAGTACTTTTACTAGTATTCCAATACATGTCTGTAATGTCAAATAATTAATTGAATAGTAATAATTGTATTTGTTTTTAGTCATTATTTTAATGCACTACAGTGTACGGTAGTTAAAATATAGTTCAGTAGTACTTGAGGTGATTTAACGCTCAATTTCCCAGTAAATACATTGTAGTTTAGATACTTGAATGTTCATTAAAAGTATTAAAAGCAGTAAATAGATAATGACTAATATTTATTAAGTATGATAGAATATTTTGGAAAAATATGAAATTCATGAATAATAACTATAAATTTGTTTTTATGTACATTTTTGAAATTGTGCAGAAATTTTGCTATTTCAAGGACAAAAAAATATCAGTAAATTTGCTAGAAACTTTTCAGTAATACATGTAACAATTTAGAGAATATAGAGATTGGATTCACAATTCAGTGATGAATGTCATAAATATTTAACAAGTTTAAAACCCTCCTTTTAATTGCCCTTATTACCCTTATTAAAGAGTTTTTAAAAGAAATTAATCATTGTTGATTACATCCAGGTATTTGGATTCATTGCTGCCTTCTCGTATGGCATTGGATTTTGGCAAGCCTACAGAACCTACCGTAGCCAAACCTATGTTGAAGTCTGATCTTTCCAGAGTCTTTAATTTCCTTTTGATTACCGGTATTGACATGTGCAATGAATAAAAAAAACTTTGTGTACTTTATTTTAGTATGGTATTTAATGTGTAGCAATTATGAAATTAATTTCCTTTGTTCTGTAATAATAACTTGGCCACTTTCGTATTTATGTATCTCGGTTGTTGAAGTATTTATTTTCGGATATTTATAGAAGAAGAATTGATGCTATTTATTAACCTAAATAATAAGTACATAAAAAGTTAACTTGTAACTCACTGAACTTAATATTGTCTATCTATATACTAGCTTTTTGTTCATATTGGTTATAAATATATATTAACATGTATAAATTAATGCTTGTATCTCCTAACATACTAACTTTTACTAACTTTAAAGGGGAAGTCCACCAGGATAATTAGTCAGAAAAATAAGAGAAGTACACTGTAGGTCACTGAAAGTTTGAGCAAAAACCAATTGAAAATAAGCAAGTTATTAACTTTTAAAGGTACAATCAATCAAAACACAAATTGGCAACTCTGTGACGTATCTTGCAAGGTCCCCACTCCCCTGTTATTTGCCCTGTACCATAAACCTTTGAAAATGTATCTTTCCCTTAAGAATATTTTCAGTCATACATTCACCCTGAATATAATTATTATTACAAATATGTTTTTATACAACCCTTGTATGCAACAAATTTATTCCGTCTTCAATAACTAAGAAAATGAATGGTTATGAAATGTACTGTACAGAGGAAATTGGAGAGGAGCTCGCAAGATATGTCACAGTGTTGCTAATTTGTGTTTCACTGATGACAACTTCAACATTCATAACTTTCCTGTATATTGCTCAAACTTTCACTACTTTCTTTCATTTATTCTGCTTTTGATCACCAACTTAATATCCGGGTGGACTTCCCCTTTAATATACAACATTATAATGCACTCTCACCGCTGTTTTTATAATGCAAATATTGATTTCATATTAACATGCATATTGCTTTTGCTAACATACTTATTGCTTATTAATATGTTTATTGCATTTATAAAAATTATTGCTTGCATATTCACTTCAAACAATTGATTTCTGTTGTAATTGATAGCCTTTTGTTTACCTGATAATGTATTGCTTTCATAATACTAATTCACATATTAAAACTAATTCATTGACTTTAATGTTAGCAAATTTCATATTATATTGCCATTGGTATAATGAAAGTTCATTTTAACAGCTCAATAGTGTATTAAAGGTACTTTAATGTTTGAAAATAAGTGTTTTTGTTGGAAGGAAAGAATAAGCCATTAAAATGACATGTCTTTATGCTGATCATCTATGAAGTTTGAGTTTAAGTACACAACTTTGGTATATGGTTTCTTTTCCTTTTTAAACATTTATTGATTCGTCCTCACTAAGTGTTAATCATTTTTTCTCTTACATCTAAGAAAAATTCAACAACAATCCAACCAATTTGCAATCATATTACACTATTAACTGTTTATTGAATTATTTGATTAATGGAGGAGGCCCACAGCTTCATTAAAAATATCAAGATTAGATACCTTTCTTAATATATAATGTAGAACAGAATTGATTTCTATGGTAGTATGTTTATTATTTATAACATTTCATGTAATACATGTACATTTATATAGTAACAACTAACGTCAACAAATATATACTATTAACTATGTGTACTATTAACAATTTAACATTACATTTAATCTGATAGTTTTGTTTCTTTGTTTGTATTTCAAGTCATTAAAATTTCAAATCATTTTGCTGTTGTATGTTTGCAACGTGTTTTCTGCTCTATTTTGTTTTTGCTAATTTTCTAATTACTAATTGTAAAAATGGTAGCAAAAATATTGTAATAAACCCTACCTACACACTGGTATTGAATAAATGTTTTGATCAGTGACTACCATTCACTATTCAAATTGGCAATGCAAGGTACCAGGGTCAAGGGTATGTTGTCGGGGAGCACTGTCATGTGACTTGGCATGCCTTGGCTCAGACATACACAGACTTTGAGTGTTTGTCAAGTCATTGTACGCCCCATACATGTATGTTACCAGGTGTGATGGAATTTAATGAATATAGTTATTAAAGAACAATTTTCCTTGATAAATAAATCTAAGATAAATGCTATCAGCTTGAGAATCATCAGGCAATCAAAAATTGGTAATGTACGCGACAATATGTACCTTAGACTTGTTTTTATTAAATCCTATTTATTCAATGCATCTGGCGATCAAGGTTTTCTCATGCCTTTGGAGCAAAATTATTTAACATTAGTCCTATTTTATAATTGTTGTCATTTATATACAGATTACAATACTTTATTAAAGGCTACTGAAATCACATTTGACTGGTTGTAACTAGACTGCTCAAGTATTATTGGCAGTTGTGGGTTAACTTTGACCTGTTGAGTACTAAACCCAAGATAAGTCAGGCTATAGTCTATGGAAAAAAACGTGTATCCAATCTCATTCAACGGATTGCATAATAGTTTTATGAAATGGTCCAGAGTTTTTGTTCTTCGCCACGATATGTTCTCAGGTAAAATTCAAACAGCAGTGCAATTATACTCTTATTCAGTGAAATACATGTTTATGTATACATTTTTTGGAATCACTGCAGTAATACTTGCTTTGGGGTAAATAGTTCTGTATATTTTGTGATTTATTTGATATTCAATGTGATTAAAGTTGAAATAGAGATCTCTGGACTGGATTCTTGTCACTTTTCTTTTTAAATGTATCCCGTACATGTATCTTTTCTCAGCGCATGCATGCATGTATATATTCATTAACCTTTCAAATTTACCATATATTATATATATATACACATGTATAATATATATAAAATATATTGTAGCCATCCCATAATCTGAATGTTCTTTTGCATGGAAATCCAATGACTCAAACTTATTTTGAACACATGGATTTTAAAAGAAAATGTTAGTGATTTTTCAATCTTGTAAAAATCCTCTCTTGCATGCAATTATGATTTGCCTTTTTGCCAACTTGGTATTTTCCCCCTAAATTATATGTCATATTAGCATTTTAACGTTTTTGCAAACATCCTTATAAAATCCACTTTTTGCTATTGGAATGAGAATTGTCAATTTTTTTATTTTTTATTTTTTTTTTTGGGGGGGGAGGGGTTTTATTAAAAACTTTGTCTTGATTGGGTTACATGAATTGAAGTGTCTCATATTTTGGAGCATTTTTAGGGAAATTGCATTATTCTTTCCCCAAAACTATGATTTGAATTGATAGCTTTTGTAAAGGGATATTCAAACCTGCCATAAACTGGACTCTTTTGTCTTTTCATTTTTTGAGTGATATTTTGAGGCACTTTTCAAAGCCAAATAGACTACTTCCTTTTATTCATTCCTATAAACGCTGATAAACACATAATGATATCAACCGGTTGGATGGTGATTTTAACAAAGATGTTTGCAACCATGTTTCCATCTAGAATAGAAGAAAGAAAAAAAACCTAGTTTCATTCTGCTTCGTGCTTTTACCTTTCCCTTCCTTGGTTGTTTTGTTTCTGGTTCCTGCAGGTGTTTGGATTTATCGCAGTGGCGAGCTATGGGCTTGGGCTCTGGTATTCTTTCAAGAGGTGGAGGGAGAGAGTTAAGAAACGACAGAGCTCGGACAAGCCAGTACGCGGTCAGCTACTGATCATCACCGGTCAGCTATTGACCGTCGCCACTGAAGATTCCAAGGTCCAGCCAGTCGTATCTCCAGTTCTCCACCTAAAGAGTGACGTCGTGGTAAACAAAATGTTAGTCAAAAAAGGTTATTATACGGTTAGAAGCCCTGAATGCCTTTGAAAGATCACCGCACACTTCATAACCAGACTATAAGTATTTTTACATGAGAAAGAATTGTATTAGGAGTAGATTCTTCCTTTTTAAAGTATTTTATTATTGTATGTATAGCAGATGAAAATGCAGGGTATACTATAGACTGTCCTATAGACTGGTTTACTAATTCATTCAAATTGTTTGCATACTTTTCAAACAAAAGTTGTTCATTACAACCTGAATGCTTGCCTGACATAGCAACAAATAACGTATGCGGACTGGATTCCAAGTATTGTAGTTCATTCATTAATAACAGGTTAATGGAATACCTCGTCACTAGGTCCCCAGGAAAGAAACATTTATAAATTTGAACATGTTAGTAAAGCGGTCTATTGAGTTGCAGTTGGTTGTCTGTCATGTGACTTGAATGATGTCACCTAGATTTACTGCCCATTGTGCATTTTTCCCAGACTTGGAGGCTAAAAACATCCAAAATCTCAACATTGCTATTCATATGACTATTTGCCTAATGCAAAGATTTAGAAAGAATCTACATTTTGAAATATTCACATCTCAATCTAATACTACAGCAATTTCTACCCGAATGATGTTGCGGTTGGTTTGTAAATTGTGCGGTGGTCTTAATGTCAAAACCAACATTTTAGGAAAAAATCAAGTAGTTGTGATGAACTAACAATATATTATGCCTCTACTCCACCGAACATGCCATTTGTACTCCTGTGCACACTGTTCTATTATTGATGTATTTGATATATACATGTTCATGTACAATGTATTTATACCGGTATATATATATATATTATATATATATATATATATAATATATATATATATGCTTAGTCACTTAACTCACTATCATGATGTCATAACTTTATACAGCAATCTGAAGAAACAATTTCATGAAGTTTCACATGTAGTTATATTTTTACAGTTTGTACATATATACCTGTAGCTTTTTAGTGATTTATTGCATGTATTGGAAATGCTTAAATAGTGATATTACCAGAATACCAGTATTGAGTTTACAGCACACTTTTTTTAAAGGTTCTATTTGACATTGCAGTTAGAATAATGCAGATCCATTCTTTTAAATTATTTCAAGCTTAAAGTAATTGCCATTGAAATAACCCCCCCCCCCCCCCAAAAAAAAAAAAAAAAAAAAAAAAATATATATATATATATATATATATATATATATATATATAATAAAAACAAATAAACAATTGTACAAGTTTGTGAAATAAACAGCAACAAAGCCAAATTCAATATCCAATATTTTGAACTTTTCAGTTTATTTATATCACATTATATTCAAACCATTTGGTGTAATGATTTAACCCCCAGGAGGATATATGAATGTAAAATACTAACTTTTTATTCTGTTTCTTTCATTCACGCACCTCTTCCAAATTCCTGAAATTTATGTTTTGATTTTAAAGAATCACTTGTATACTTTCTGAAACAATCATCATGCTGTGCTCATGTGTTTAGTATGAATAATATTATATATGGAATGTACTTGCTCTTTCTTTTGTGGCAATGTAAAATGTGTGAAACATTTTTTCACAGAATTATGAATTTTAAAGAGTCCATTTTTTGTGACATCTAACATATACAAGTGAAATGTATGCAGAAACAAGATGCATTTCTAACTTACACTAAAAATGTACCAAGTGATACGACGTATGTGCTGAAAATCTTTCAAATTTTATGCAAACCTCAAGTGGCTAGTATACGGTATGCTCAAAGGGACTTGTTAACATTGTTCAGATGAGAGAAATGGTGCTAAGGTAGTGACTTCAATGCTAGATCGATGAACAATTAAAGATAATATGAAAGTTTGAGTGAAAGTAGACCATTATTAATGATATAAACTAGTCTAAATTGGGAAAAACTGATCTGATCGATTCCTTAATTCTCCCAACTATATTATTACAATTTAATTACATTTTAGCTGAATGTAAATCGTCAGAAAGCTATGGATTTGCTCTATATACCGTTCCAGACATTTAAGTGTTGAAAGATTTTTAAAAGCCTGTCTTATGTCATATTTTCATGGAAAAATGGTTGGGAGAATTTACTGTTAGACAGTGTTGACCAGTGACGCCTTCCAAGAAAACCATAGACATCTTTGTGGTTTGAGAATTTGTCCAGGATTTGTTGCATGCTAGAGGGTTAGTACAGTAGAAGGAATATAATAAGTAACATTTCATACACAAATTACACAGTTTTTTTCATCAACCTTCAACAATGTTACTGAGTCACTTTAATACAAATGTTCTATTATTCAGAAGGATCAAAGCAAGTAACTTCTTGATCAAAGTAACTGTTTTTGTATGGTGTACGTATGAAATTGACAAAGATTGAGACAATGTTGCTTGGGTAACATACAAAAAAGTAGCAAGGTCATTATATGAATCATCATTAGTTAGTTAATTGATTTTTATCAGCTGCTTAGAGCTATAACTAACATTCTTAAGAAACATAAATCGGGACAATTTTTTTTTTTTACATAATTTAAAATCACAAAACTTGGTAAGGGTATAAATAAGTTAGTTGTAGACCATACATATAGGTCCAGGGGGTGTTTCACAAAACTTGTCATCAGTGACAAATGACAATATTTGTTATAAGCTACTGAAATCCTTGCTTCTGATTGGTTATCACCAGATGTGTCACTGATTTTTGTCATTTGTCATTGACAAATAGCTTCGTGAAACGGGTCCCAGTTATTAGTCATGTAGGTGTCAAATTACATTGCACCAAGCTTTATTTTTCATCGCAGCTTTTGTAGTAAGTTTGCATGTAGAATAGCTTATCCATTCTCTTTTTTAAAAATTAATTGTGTATAATCCAAAACGAGTTAGTTATTGATAATTAATAGGATAGGAGATAGATGTGAAAGAGTAATTGAAAATATTAATTAAATGATTTATGAAATATCTCAAAAATCGCATCTCTTCCATATGAATGGTGCAACACTACAATAGTCTATTTTACTCTATTTTACTCGATTTTAACAACTGATGTACAGATGCACCATCCTGCCATAAGTATCCATTTACAATATTTTGTAAGGATTTAGTGATTACATGAGGAATATATATGTGGTTTTAATATTTAATTTTAAATATTACAGGCTAAACTGAATGATTTAACTTGTGTGCTTAGATCATTTTAATCTGACCACTGACTCAAAATTAATATTGTCATGATAACAAGCTATTTATATTTCCTGTATTTCGTATTGTAGCGTTTTTCTATATAACCAGCTAAATATGTAGAAAGATTTATCTTATAAATATTTCAAAGCAATGTATAAGCTATTAAATGTTTTAAAATGATTGTTTTGATTCAAATGTCTTGTGTAACCACAAGTATTGCATTTAGTAGGCAGTGTAGCCTTTTTATTACCCAAAATTGTGGACACTTGCAATTTTTTTCTTCATTTAATGATGATTTGAGCAATCTGTTGCCTCCGTTATACTTGATATTTATAAGAACAAATAGACAAATCTTGTAACTTAAGGGCTTCAATTGCTTTTGTGTATATGTTTTCAAAACACATTTAAATTTGTTATCAGTATGATTATCTAGATTGAATGGTGTGTAGTGCCCTGGCTTAAACCTGTATAGTTGAGAAACAATCAAATTGGCTGGTAGCATGCACTCATCAGACCACCCCCCCCCCCCTAAAAAAAACTCTCTTTCTCTCTCAACTTAAATGGTTGTAGTTTGTGCACTATTGAGCACAATATGAAAGGAATAGTATTTCATACCAGCATTAAAAACTGGTGTGCATATTTGAATTGTAGCTACATGTAAATCACTGCTTCCAAAAATTGTCTTCAACTATATTGATGATATATGTAATTTTGTTTGTATATTTTAGTAAGCACATTCAAAAATCATATTTATATTTTTGTGTCGCTATCTTCATTGTTCTGTTGTTTTATTATAGTGATTTGGAAATAAAATAATTTAATTCATTCATCTTCACCATTCCTTTTCTTTGAAATTCTTCTCATTCATTTGATGTTTCAAGTTCTCTCCTGACTGCATTATTCCACAAATTGATATTTATTTCTAGGCACAAAAAAAGAAGACAAAAATTGAAGTTCATGGATATTTTCATCCTTAATGTAAAAAGTCAATGATCCATGGTTATTACAAATTAACTGCAAGTCTGTGTTTTGTTTTCTTTTCTTTTGCTCTCTCTTTTTTTTTTCTCTCTCTCTCTTTCTCTCTCCCTCCCTCACTCACTTGCTTGCTCATTCTCCTTATGTTTATTTTTGATCGCTTTCCATCAATTCTTTGAGAATATTTATTGTTAGAAGGTGTGTCCTTTTGTATAGTGCGTATTATTTCAGGTCAATTGTTCACCTCTCTGGCATTAGGTTGTGTGTGTGTTCAGCAAATTTATAATCATGTACATACGTGTTCCCAATGTGAATGAAATTATATACCAAATCCTATTTGTATATAGATTTTAGACATGTATTCTGTTTTTGCACATATGATACACAAAAATACTACTCATCCATTTGCACTTCCATATCATAAGGGAAATGAAAATCAGGAATTGTGATTTTTGGAGAATACCAAATATTTTGATAGATGAAATTCAAACATAACAGCATCAAATTTATGTGAATGAAATTATATACCAAATCCTATTTGTATAGATTTTAGACAAAAATATTATAGGAAGGATCATTGAGATGAAATAGCAATTAAATTGTGAAAGCTTGTTCAGATGCTATGATCCCACCAGTTGCAAAGTATGAGAAATGCTATCCGCTCTTGCAGCAAAAGAAAAGAGAAGAATTAGAGTGAAACTTCTTGAAAATGTTATCATATTATACCCAGGCCCATGTATCAAATGATATATATATGTGCTAGATATTGTAGCATCAGTTCCATGGTTTCAAACCAACTCTGTTGGTGTAAATGTACGAGGTAGGAAACATTACATGGCTACTACAGTCGTCGAGTCCAAGTGACAATACATTGCCCCATTAAAGTCTAAAGTGTAATTATTTCAATATTTTATAACACCTTTGTAAAGTTGCAATTGATCCAAATCAATCTCAAGTTTACAGTCTCCTATCTCTTATGTAATATGATCAATATAACTTGCAAGAAAAGTTGCGATTAATATCAACTCTTTGTAAGACGGGCCCTGGTGTGGTCTGTGGAGGTCTAAATCTTTTCGATAACCCATGAAAGATCCTTTCATTTTGATATTTTCCCTTGTAGTTTTATAATAATTCTTAAAATAGCAAGTGATTGATAGTGGTTGTTAAAAACAGAGTATGTGTAATGAATTTTAGATTTGTGATGAAATGAAATATTTTTGCACTTCTGTCACTTTGATTGGAATTCTGTCGTGAATGGTACAAGGTTTACAATTATTAAATAGTTGATTTGTCTTCATAATATGTTGTATTCTTTTGAAGTTTGACATTGTGTGTGATTCAATCAATATTCAAATGATTGAAGAGGATGTGAGAGAGGCAAAGTAGGCTTGTGGAAACTGGACAGATATGAAGAGAGAGAGTATAAAAATACATACATGTAGATAACTAAAGAGGGGGTAGGTAGATAGATAGAGAGAGGAAAAGAGAGAGAGAATATAGAAATACATGAAGATAACTAGAGAGATAGAGAGAAGTAGAGAATAGAATAAGATGTAGGGGTTGCAAACCAAAGAGGGGGGGGGGGGTGGGGCAATATGGGACACAATAGGGAGATTATAAACAATAGCAAATTTAGAGGCTAAACTAGCTTGTCCCCCCCCCCCCCCCCCCCCCATGGCAATTTCCTTCTTTTCCCCGGCAATTTCCTTGTCAACTGTTTTAGCAAGTGCTCCATTTAATCTTGTGAAGCAATTTGCTACAATTTTTTATTTTTCTATCTCTCTCTAAAAAGAAAACCTGAGGGTAGGAGTAATATCATCTCTATCACACTTGTATTGTTTATCGGCCTACGCAGTATTTATCATATTATTATCGATTTATCGATATAAGGCTTCCAATGGTACAATAAATCAGTGTATTCAATATCTTTAGCGCAGTACCCCGGATGACTGACCAATATTTCGTATTGCTCAGTCGTCCAGGGAAGTTCAACTATCGATATCGATATCACGCACACAAAAAAGCCACATTTACCGAGGTAAGTCAAATGTTGTTATTTCACTAGTCAGTCTGATATAGATAATAATAATATTATATAGCTTTGTTTTGTGTGATACAAGAATATATTGCTCTTGCTATGACAATATTGGGCTCGTCTCAGACTCGTTCAATATTGTCATAGCTCGAGCAATATATTCTTGTATCACACTCAAAGCCATCCAATATTATATAAGTACATACAAGTCAGAAAGAAGCTTATCGTCCATTAAAATATTCTTCATTTTAATATTCCTCAATGCTCCAACATTTGGAAGACGTATTACATTTGCAAATTATATTCATATATATGTATAAATTCAATCATTTTGTAATGCTATAAGGCTACAGATCAATCAATTGATTAGAGATTTTGTTAATGCACAAATGTTTGACAAAATCCTTTAACAGCAAGTCTACTCTAACACTCGGCGCACAGCACCAAGGTTAATACTTGAAAATAATTCTTGATGACTACCATAAAACAGGTGCAACAATTGTTTTGAGGCACATAATACCCTTTTTTATATGGAAACCCTGCCTTTTGTCCAAGTAGTAAATCATGAAAACTATATTGCCAACACTCTAGCAGTCAACCACAGGGAAAGTGGCGACAGAGACACCCCAAGCAAAATGATGCCATTGGATAGGAAGATAACTAAATAATTTTTTTTAAAGGAAACAAAGATGATCCAACTAATGCATGGGAATACTGGAGAAAACTGATGATGAACATGATTACAATCCGCTCAATAAAGGAATAATGCAAAGGAAATCCCACATTTTATGTGGCAAAACCCTCTCTGCGCAACATAAATAGTGAAAACTTATATTTACTATTAAAATCTCTCAAAAAGGCATAAATGCAAAGGAAATCCCACATTTTATGTGGCAAAACCCTCTTTGCACAACATAAATAGTGAAAACTTATATTTACTATTAAAATCTCTCAAAAAGGCATGAATGCAAAGGAAATCCCACATTTTATGTGGCAAAACCCTCTTTGCACAACATAAATAGTGAAAACTTATTATATTCACAATTAAAATCCGCTCAAAAAGTCATAAATGTAAAGGAAATCCCACATTTTATGTGGCAAAACCCTCTTTGCGCAGCATAAATAGTGAAACTATTTACAATATATACAAAAATGTAATTTATTGCAACAATGTAATTACCGTTAAATAAAAATGATGTATAAGCATATATGCAAATTTAACAGATATTCATATTAAACAGAGGTATGAAATCTTGTTTTATACTGAATAGTAGTGAGTATGCATGGAACACTTTACTGTTTATTCAGTTAATACATTACATAATAAGTTTGAATTAATGCCATCTGCTTTTAAACCAGAATCTTTCACATGCGGAAAATGTTCAAGAAGTTTACAAATGGTTCAGATTCGAGAAAGTTTCGTGCTGAGAAATAATTGAATCATAACTGATATAATGCTGAAATTTGGCAGCACGCAGAACTACTTTCTGTGAAAATCACTTGTTTTACAAATTTTTTTGTGAAAATCGCTCTTTTTTATGAATTGTGAAAGTTCACTTGTTTTATGAATTCCAAAAGTTTGTGAAAAATCACTTATTTTATAACTCGCAAAAATTTCCAGTTAAAAATCAATGTACTGATAATACACACATGAAGCCATTACAATTTGATACACTTCAGTTAGTTAATTAGTACATGTATTAATTAAATAAAAATTGAATGATAATTAAGTATATCTCAATATTAATATTCATTAAAAAAATTGTTTAAGTTCAAATGTTCACACGGCTGATGAGAAGCATACGATTGGAAGCATAAATGTTTTTTTGTCACACAGACCATTTACGATTAACACTCATTTGATAACCCATTCTTTCTTCAAAATGCTTCTGACTTTATAGAAGGCATGATGTTTTGCCACAACAAATGCTGGATTGGCTCAATTTCGAATCGAGTTTAGATGCTGAGCATATCAATTCCTTCGCGCTCCTTTTGGGAGATCAACCGACCCGCGCGCATTTTATATTACATGACATAATGGTAAAATTCTCGACATCTTTTTACACTTTTCTTTACCATTAAAAATCGAAATTGAGAATAATATCCTCAATCGAGATATGAGAAGAAGGAAACATTTCCTTTACATTCCATGTAAAACCATGCCCTTACTTGAAAAAAAACCTCCGTCACTTTGACGTTGAACTTTACAATCCATTTAAAAAAAATTACTCTCTCATACACAATGTCAATGGATCGGTCGCACTGTGCTCGATTGCCTTTCAATAAACCAATCTTTAACTTTGCAGCAACGCGTTTTGCGTCAAATTTGTAAATCCTCAATCACAGACAATGACATATGATACGTAAGCTTTTCATACATATAAATTTCATTTTGATTGATTCATTTTTAGCTCCGTCAATTTTCATGTCAAATCATGCTTCATGTCCCATTTTAGAAGCCCGACCCAGGGTTTTGTGCCAGCTAGCCCTGTATGCATGTACGTAATGCTATGCATACACATATAACTGAACATGCATAAGTACAGTACATGTACACACGCAGCGCAGCGCGTACGAGCGCACTGCACTACATTTCATTGGGTCAGTACCATTATGAAAATAGGGGAACAATGAGTGGGATGGGTTTAATGCCGTCACAATAAACTTGCGCATTACACGCGTACGTATAATTAGAGCAATTTATGCACCCCCAAGAAATAATGAATACAGCCCGACCTCTCTACACACAGAACTGCACAGATACCGCACAGTCCGGTCAAGGCGGTACGCGTAGCGTTAAACTGCCAAATTTACAGAAATTGTGAGGAGCGCTTTTGCTATGAAAGGAATTGATATGTTTCTACACCATACATAAAATATTGGCAGTACACAATTACAATCATTTTATGATTTGGAGAAGAACAAAAAAAAAATTAGAGAAATACTTCCGTTTCATACATGTAGCATTAGCAGTTTTAAATTACAATCATTCAATGATTTGAAACAAAAACAAAATCATTTAGAAATGATTAAAAAAAAATTCTTAAAAAAGCATAATTTTGACAGTAGTTTCAAGCCTATTACTCATACATCAATCAATGAAGATTTATTCTGGGGTAATCATTTATGTGCTACCAGTGCCAAATCAACCGTCACTCGAAGTGATTTAATAATCACTTCTTCTTTTTGATAATAAATGGAAATTAGGCAGATGTCATACGTGATTTCTTTCATCTATAATTAAATGAAGAAAAAAAAAATCAGCAGCCGTCTACTGATTTATCTTCTGATATCTTTATAATGAAACAAATCAATTTATTTTTGTCTGTATAATGCTAGAAAATTTCAAAAGTGCCCTTTTGATTAAAAAATGCCCTTCTACGAGAGCTGAATTGGCCTCAGCTTAAAAAGCTCTAGACAGTGTTGTTCTCTTTCATGTCTGAAGGGGGCGCACTAACTCCAAGCTTCCCCTCTTCGACCAGTCTGAGCGTCTCGGCGATGATGCTGCGCTTCCAGGCACGGATGGCGAAGAAGATCTCGATGAAGTACAGTGCCATGGCAACAAAGGAGAGGATCTGAAGAAATTGATAAGATTCAAATGTCACTTTGGCATTTAAAAAAAAGGTGAAGAATGGCATCATTAGCATGTTCTTTTTCTACTATTTAAAAAAAAGAATGAACATAGCTCTCACCAATAATTAACACAATTTATTTTGAAAGCATACTAAATGAAACTTTGCCTTACCAGTACTTATAAATTAGTGTCTATTACTTTACAATGTCTGAATATGAAGTTAGTGTTCGGTCAAATAATTTACATTGTCTATGAGAATAGAGGGAATTATTGTCTCAATTCTCTATGAGAATGTCCCTTTTTTTCATTCAATTCCTAAAGTTAATGTTAAATGTATTGTACACTGTATCTTCTCCATTAATATCACACAAACTATAAAAACAAAGTTAATTTAGAACATTTTGTAAACTGTATCAAATGTTACGATATCATTATTAAGACAAGACAAAATGTTTTACATTCAACAGTACTCTGCATCATACTATTTACAGAATATACTCTAGATAGGAAGTACTAAAACTTACGACACCAACGATGAGTCCAGCTTGCCCGAAGGTATTGGCAGCAACGTGACCGGCTAGAGACATGAGAGCTATAGCTGCTCCAGCACAGTAGAATACTTGCTGTATATATAATCATAGAGGGAAACAATTTAAAAGAAAGATTATCAAGTGTGATCACTTGATAATCTTTCTTTTTTTAAATTGTTGTAAAAGTTCTAGGAAAGGCTTTTGAAAACCTAAAGTCAGCACAGGAAAATACTTGCTGTATATTATAAGGGAAAGATCTTACATCGTAATCATTCAATTATTTGATGAAAAAGCTTCAGGTAAGGCTTCTGAAAACTTAAAGTCAGCTTAAACTTTAATAACATAGCCAACCTAACAGAATCCATCTACATGTAAACTCTATTCTTTAAAATCTCATACAAACATAAGGTCATCTGCTCTATTAAAAATACCGGTAGGTATACTTTTAATTCATTTATAGTCATTCCTGAATATAGCTCCAATGATAAATATAAGGTAGTATTATTGGGATAAATATTTAAAAAACAATTATATAATTTCAAAAGCCAAAAGTACTACATGTAGGATTGAATTTGTCCCAAAATGCCAAACTAGGGATACTCACCAGCATGCTCCAAGGGAAGCGGGTCGCCTTCTGGGGCACATCGAGGACATAGAGGAGGATGAGGATCGCTGTGATGGCCAGGAAGCTTCCGCACGCTGCCTCCAGATGCCAGTATGACGACTCATTATCTGCTTTGTCGGGTTGGATTGCTATACCCAACAGAGCTCCAAGGCAGGCAACCTTGAAAGACAGAAAATATGAATATTGATATTATAATGATAATAATAGCAACATTTATGTAGCACATGTATCACACACATAATAATTATAATAATATAAATGTTTATATTGCACAAATATCCATACCAGGGGATGCTCAAGACTACGGTACTACAGAGTACCCCGACTATAGCCCAGCTGCTAAAATGTGCTAAAAGGCAAGCATTCAAGCATTCAAGCATTCAAGAAATAAATCAAATGAACCTGATTATCATGATTGCTGGTATAGATGGGTAATAACATTTACAATTCATTAATAATTATGTGGAATATAATTCTTAAAACTTCATAGTCAATTATATCATCATAATCATATCAATATAAATATTATGGTCTCGTACTCTCGTTTTGCTTTTATACATGTGAACAAATATGGAGGAACTTGCCCCCCCCCCAAAAAAAAAAAAGAGAGAGAAAAGGAAAGTGAACTCTCGTAAAAATACAATAATAGAATGATATGCAATCACATGAAACCAAAATGGAAACCCGACTTCTTTTTAATTTTTATCAAATTTTTGTTCCAAACAATGCTAAAAACATGTATTTCTTTTAAAATCTTTATACATTCCTTTATACAGCTCGTTTGAGACTAGAAAAGGGTAATCACTATCTATAGCTGTACAATTCTCGTATAGCAGCTGCAGTACAATGAATTCATTATAAAAAGTAAACTGACCTTTGAAACAGGGCCCTTTAATCAGACTTATTCAAGAGATTTAATCAGTTTTAAGTCGTCAACAAATATTACAATTCTGGCCTCCTGCATATATCGACTTGCAAACTTTTTAGCTCATTAGCTTAGTCTGAGAACACAGCCTCCAAAAAAGAGGGATGAGACAGAGAAATTCCAAAAAAGAGGAAAATTAAATGGTGGTCCAGGGGGCCATGCCTCCTTTCCACCAATGTTTTTTAAAATATACTAAAAACGACACGGTTTCTTTGCATTTGAATTCTAAAGTTTAGAAGTATTGTAAAATACCACATCTTACTTAATGGGACTCTATAACATTGTTCAGATGAAGAAAAAATATAATAAATTAAAACCAAAATACCTCTAATTTCTGCCCCCCCCCCCCTTATGAAATCGGCGGAGGAATCTCATCCCTGTTAAAATGACTACTGGTACAAAGTCTGGGGCAATGAATAAATGAAAACAATGTCAAGTACTAGCTTCCTTTTGTCAATGAATCAAAGTATTTTTTTATGCCCTGGGTTGAGTCAGCTAGTTGAATGCTCATAAAATAAAGTGCATTTTCCCAACAAAAGTCGAAATAATTTGACCTCCTCCTTCTTCTCTCTTGCTCCCTAACCCCCACCCCTCTCTCTCTCTCTCTCCTCTCTCTCTCTTTTCTTTGATCTGCCTCTATCTCTATCTCACCCTTTCTTCTCCAACTCTTTCTCTTCCCCTCTATCTCTCTTCTCTCTCACTCTCTTCTCTAGCTCTTTCTTTCACCCCTCCTCCCCCCCCCCCCTCTCTCTCTCTCTGTGCTTCTGAACCTTCTACACTATCAGGTTGGTTGTTCACAAACAACATCCTTAGGGATTCCATGATTCATCATAATTGGTCTCAACAGGTTTGCACTACAAACAATATCACAAAGCATAAATCCCATACTCCTCCCTTTATATGCTAGTGAGAAATCTATTTCATTTTATGTAAGACCATACCGAGCAGTTGACTGTGAAACAAGCTGGAAGTCACACTGAGATCGATCTGTATTTGTTTTAAAGATCGAAGCCGTTTTGCTGCTAAGATTACAAAATTATCTCGTCATCTGAGCAAACAAAATGTGTCTACCAATACCATTCTGATGGGGTTACAACCAATTGTTGCATCATCAATGGCCTCAACACGTGGCAAGTGTTAAAAGGTACAATCTGTATGTAACATGGAGTGTATTGTTTCAGGTTATACAAATCAATCCTATTTTCAGTTTATTAATTAGGTTATAAAAATCAATGTCATTTTTGTAATACATTACAACGATTATAAATTATATTATGATTTAAACCATATACTGCCGAGTACAGTGAACAGAATATAAATTTTTAAGAAAATCTTTGAACTAGAACAAGGTTTAGCAGGAACCACAAAAGCAATTAAATTTACCCATCGGGAAAGTCTGGTCCAACAGAAAAATCATTTTGAGCCACCTAGAAGATAACTAATGCCCTATTTCAATGCATTAAAGTTTGTCAACTTATCACAATCAGTTCATTTTACAACTCTACATGTACACAGCATCAGTCATCAGTGGCAGGGGTGGAGAGGGGGCACACTGACAACCCCCCCCCCCCCCCCCATCTCACCAAGAAAAATCAGCAGAACTGGAAATGATCTGAGTCAAAATTGATCTTCTAAAACTGGAGACGAGCTAGGATGGTGGTGGTGGTGGTATTAATGGAGGAATCGTAGCTTAGATGATGAGGGAGCAATTCGGGGTTACGGTTCAGATAATATATAATTCAAAGACCATGCAGCTTTAACCCCCCCCCCCTGGCAATTGAATCATTCCTCATCACCGCCATCATCATACATCCTCACACTTCATAGTGAATCTGATATTTTCAGACTTTTAAACTCTTTGCTCAATCATATGTTCGAGCAATTACACAACTTTATATGTTTATGTAAACTAATCTAGTCAAGCTAGAATACATCGGGTTTACCACCAAAAGAAATTACCTACCACTTCCAGAATTTCAATGATGCCTACAGGAAGTTTAAGATAAGCCAGCCCTGATGGTGTCCTGTAGGAGGAAGATGGCAGTGTGATGTTGGCAGTGTCAGACATCTTACTGATTAGTGCATGAACTTAACCAGTTGGTGGAATATTCAGATTCAGAAGAGCTGCGTTCTCAATCAACTCAGTTCACAGTTTAGTAGAACGTAGAACTTGTGATGTAATTCTATGAAGCTCGAACAGATCCAGCGCAGCGGTGACAGTTCCTCAAACTGAAGGTTGATGGTTCCAACTTCTTGAACACTACACCTGTACTTGTGGCCAATTATTGTAAGGACCGTTCATTAGCAGCTAGCCGCCCAACCCACTAAATCGTGGCAAGAGTTGACCTCTCCAGATCTTGCGCAATCAAAACACGGTGCAAATTCCAATTCGCATGCGCAGTAGCCAGACCCAGCTATTATTCCACATGTGTGAAATCGAGGGGTCGATAATAAATCCAAAATTTAAGGCGGGATATACGTACATGTTTGCTGTGTTAGTGTTGTTATATTGCACTTGAACTACTGTACATGAGCTGATGCATCTGACAGTGCTTTGTCGTAGTTTAAGACCAATAATTCTAAATAGATTACACATCATGCAGTGTCAGCTAAGGCCAACAACACGGCTGAATTCAGCTCCTCACAACATCGATGTTCCCCGTGACCAGACCATCGTCCTCGGCCGCAGCCCCGTTACTGGCATCACGGATAAGAAACTCTCCAGACAACACGGTGAGAAAAGAGATATCCTCCTTGTGAGAACAGTGCACTACGGAGCCCCGGAAGTGACATGGAGAAATTTTTTTTTTCTCGTTTTCCTGAGATAAATTCTCGTTTTCCTGAGATAATTTTTCGTTTTCCTGAGATAAATTCTCGTTTTCCTGAGATAATTTTTTGTTTTCCTGAGATAATTCCCGTTTTCCTGAGATAAATTCTCGTTTTCCTGAGATAAATTCTCGTTTTCCTGAGATAATTTTTCGTTTTCTTGAGATAAATTCTCGTTTTCCTGAGATAATATTTCGTTTTCCTGAGATAATTCCCGTTTTCCTGAGATAAATTCTCGTTTTCCTGAGATAAATTCTCGTTTTCCTGAGATAAATTCTCGTTTTCCTGAGATAATATTTCGTTTTCCTGAGATAATTCCCGTTTTCCTGAGATAAATTCTCGTTTTCCTGAGATAATATTTCGTTTTCCTGAGATAAATTCTCGTTTTCCTGTGATAAATTCTCGTTTTCCTGAGATAATTTTTCGTTCTCCTGAGATAATTCCCGTTTTCCTGAGATAAATTCTCGTTTTCCTGAGATAAATTCTCGTTTTCCTGAGATTATTTTTCGTTTTCCTGAGATAAATTCTCGTTTTCCTGAGATAATATTTCGTTTTCCTGAGATAATTCCCGTTTTCCTGAGATAAATTCTCGTTTTCCTGAGATAATTTTTCGTTTTCCTGAGATAAATTCTCGTTTTCCTGAGATAATATTTCGTTTTCCTGAGATAATTCCCGTTTTCCTGAGATAAATTCTCGTTTTCCTGAGATAATTTTTCGTTTTCTTGAGATAAATTCTCGTTTTCCTGAGATAATATTTCGTTTTCCTGAGATAATTCCCGTTTTCCTGAGATAAATTCTCGTTTTCCTGAGATAATATTTCGTTTTCCTGAGATAAATTCTCGTTTTCCTGAGATAATATTTCGTTTTCCTGAGATAAATTCTCGTTTTCCTGAGATAATATTTCGTTTTCCTGAGATAATTCCCGACCAATACATGTTGCATAACTTTCGAAACCCCAGACATCGTTTGTTATATGATCACAGATTTCCCGATTTTCTTGATCGATTTTAATTTGTTTAAAACTTGAACATTTCATAGCTTTCTTATTTCATATCCGATTTTCCTCAAACTTTTATTAATCACTTTGTCTTATTTGTCTCCTTTTATTAAAATATAGATATTCTTAGGGTGGCCTTCCCCTTTAAGGCCCTTTTGGAATTGATAATTATCTTCATAAATATATCGAATTTCGACAATTGAATGTTGAGACCTACAAGGTGATGTGAATAACTGAATACCAGGCGCGGATCCAGGGGGGGGCCGAGCGGGCCTTGGCCCCCGCCCCCCCCCCCCCCCCCCCCCCCCGCAAAAAAAAAAAAAAAAGAGAGAGAAGAAAGGGAAAGAGAAAGAAGAGAAAAAGGGAAAGAAAGAAGAGGAAGAAGAAAAGAAAAGGGGGAAGAAGGAGATTGGGGAAGGCGAAAGGGCCTTGCCTCCCAGGATGTTGACCCCCCCCCCCAATCAAAAAAATAAGAGAGAAGGAAGGAAAGAGAAAGAAAAAAGGAAAAGAGGAGATACTGGCGTACTGATAGGGGGGGGGGGGCTTGGGGGAAATCAGATTCAAACGTGGTTTATTTCTAATTCCACAACGGTGGATTACAAATAATGCTGAAATGACATAATTTCCGAGATTTTTCCTCACTTTTTAGTTGATTCCTACTTGTCAGGGCCCGAGGTACGGTGGGGATCGGGAGCCCCGAGCCCCCCCCTACTTTTTTGAAAAAGTATATTAAAGAGAAATAAAATAGAATGAGAGCAAGAAAGAAAGAATAGTTAACTGCCAGTGTTGAAAAATAATGAGGCATCAAGATATGCTCATCTGACCGTGATTAATGCCTAAAACCCCTAAGCTTCCAGGGGCTCTGCCCCCTGGATTTCACCTAGGGCCCTACGGCGGGCCCTTAGATGCTCATCTGACGGTAATTTAATGCCTAAAACCCCTGATATTTTGGGGCTCCGCCCCCTGGACCCCACGCCAAATAGTGACGTGCCAGTCTCACAAAATAATAAGGTATACAAAAAAATGCTCATCTGACCTTAATTAAACGCCTAAAACCACTGAGCTTCCGGGGCCGGCTCCGCCGCCTCGACCCCCCCCCCCCCCCCAGGGGCCCTAAGACGGCCCCTGATTCAGACAAGGATTAAGAGTATAGAGAACGATACAACGCATCGTCTTCTTTCTCTAATAATATAATGAAACGTCAAAGCTTCGCGCAGGAGGGGAGGGGGGGGGGGACTGAATTCAGACAAAGATTAAGAATCGAGAACGGTACAACGAATCGTCTTCTTTCTCTCATAATCTTATGAAACGTCAAAGCTTCCGCGCTTCGCGCGGGAGGGGGGGAACCTGAATTCAGACGAGGATTCAGAGGCGAGAACGGTAATACGAATCTTTAATGATTTAATGAAAGGTAAAAGCTTCCGCGCTTCGCGCGGGATGGAGGGGGAACTAAATTCCGATGAGGATTATTTTCGAGAACGGTACAACGAATCGTCTATTTTCTCTAATGATTTAATGAAACGTAAAAGCGTCCGCGCTTCGCGCGGGAGGAGGGGGTTGGGGGAGAATCTAAATTCAGACGAGGATTATTTTCGAAAACGGTACAACGAATCGTCTTCTTTCTCTAATGATTTAAGGAAATTTAAAAGCTTCCGCGCTTCGCACGGGAGGGGGGAACCTAAATTCAGACGAGGATTAAGAGTCGAGAACTCGACAACGAATCGTCTCCTTTCTCTAATAATTTAATAAATTGTAAAAGCTTCCGCGCTTCGCACGGGAGGGGGGAACCTAAATTCAGACGAGAATTATTTTCGAAAACGGTACAACGAATCGTCTTTTTTCTCTAATAATTTAATGAAACGTCAAAGCTTCCGCGTTTCGCGGAGGATCGAGGGAGGGGGAAAATCGCCCCTCCCTGCACCGACCCCCCCCCCCGCATTACGTCACTGTTGGTCACCATTACGTACCAATATTTGGCTCGCAAAATTTCAAATTTGGGCCCCCCCCCCTAAGAAATTCTGGATCCGCGCCTGCGGAATACCCCCCTAAAACTGGATTTAGGCCCTAGGCTGACGGCCGTCGGCCTCGTGGGCTGTCCCCTATTGTAATCGGGCAGTCTGTTAATAAAGTGTTCATGAATCAAGATAGATTTATCATCCAAATTGGTATTGTACCTAAATTTGTACGAGTAAGACTAGTGTCTTTTATTTGTTAATTGCGCTCTTCGCTCGCTCGCAATTTACAGTAAATATATATGACATCGTACTCAGGGGGGGGGGGCATTCAGATGCCAAAACGTTATAAAATTAAAAGAAAATTGTATTTTTTCAATTCATTTTAACTGTTCATTTTACAACGGAAATTATCTCAGGAAAACGAAATATTATCTCAGGAAAACGAGAATTTATCTCAGGAAAACGAAATATTATCTCAGGAAAACAAGAATTTATCTCAGGAAAACGAAATATTATCTCAGGAAAACGAGAATTTATCTCAGGAAAACGAAATATTATCTCAGGAAAACGAGAATTTATCTCAGGAAAACGGGAATTATCTCAGGAAAACGAAATATTATCTCAGGAAAACGAGAATTTATCTCAGGAAAACGAAATATTATCTCAGGAAAACGAGAATTTATCTCAGGAAAACGAAATATTATCTCAGGAAAACGAGAATTTATCTCAGGAAAACGAAATATTATCTCAGGAAAACGAGAATTTATCTCAGGAAAACGAAATATTATCTCAGGAAAACGAGAATTTATCTCAGGAAAACGGGAATTATCTCAGGAAAACGAAATATTATCTCAGGAAAACGAGAATTTATCTCAGGAAAACGAAAAATTATCTCAGGAAAACGAGAATTTATCTCAGGAAAACGAGAATTTATCTCAGGAAAACGGGAATTATCTCAGGAAAACGAAATATTATCTCAGGAAAACGAGAATTTATCTCAGGAAAACGAAAAATTATCTCAGGAAAACGAGAATTTATCTCAGGAAAACGAGAATTTATCTCAGGAAAACGGGAATTATCTCAGGAAAACGAAAAATTATCTCAGGAAAACGAAAATTTATCTCAGGAAAACGAGAATTTATCTCAGGAAAACGGGAATTATCTCAGGAAAACGAAAAATTATCTCAGGAAAACGAGAATTTATCTCAGGAAAACGAAAAATTATCTCAGGAAAACGAGAATTTATCTCAGGAAAACGAGAAAAAAAAAATTTCTCCATGTCACTTCCGGGGCTCCGTAGTGCACAGTGCAGTGTTAGGTGAAACATTACCAATTTGTCTACTTTCACCTTTTAGTAATGTAGGGGCTTAGGCTTAATGAGTGACAAATTTGAGTGGTCTTAGTTGAATATTATGTACAGATTCTGTGAAATAATGGTCTAGTTTACTGTAGCAAATGTGAATAAATCCTTAGGGTCTAGTTTGAATTTAAGTTTTAACAGCTGGGCTGGAAAACAAACTTTCAATTTTTCTGTTTAACACAAAATGACAAAGGCCCCCTTAACCAGCATCAAGTGTTCTGGGACATTGACAATTATTACCAAGGACTTTTTTTTTATAGCCTTAGACTTTCTCTTATAGATTTTAGCATAAACATCATAACTTTTTAAAATTAAATAGGTCTAGAACTATAAGTTATTAAGTTCCTCTCAATATATTTGATTAATTTTGTGATTTATATGGAGTGGTTTTTTCCCCCTCTTTACATACGGTATGCCTGGTGAGTTGTGTATCAATTCAAGACCCACTTCACTGCAGGTATAGACCTGATCATGTAGGCCGGGATATATTTATGATAGACCTCTACAGCAAATTTGGTTACTTAATTAATAATAGATTTTCTGTTCGTTCGTTCGTTCGTTCGTACAAAGGATATCAGGGAGTACATCATCTAGATAGGAAGATCCTTATTAAGCCAATTACTGATCGTCTCATCATCGAGCTCACAAAGTCAGGAAGCACTGTGAGGGGAATTGTAGATGGGACAATCATCAATGACATGGTCCATTGTTTGGTTTTCTGTTGATTCATTAATGTAATTTCCATGTGCCAAACTTTTAGTTTCTATCACCGTGCTGTTCTTTCTCCTTTTCAGTGGAAGTGACAGCTGCTTATTCTTCTCAGACACTTACCGTTAAGCAGGTTTGTATCCTTAGATAATAAGTTAAAACTAAATGAATTGAATATACTCTGACCCATATTGTCTTGAAAAACAAAGATTTTTATTTTCCAAAGTGTTCATCAAGAGAGTTGTACAATGAATGAAATGCTCATGTTCATTTGATCTCTGGTCTCACATTGTCTCCAAATAAATACATCAAAATTAAAATTAAAAATAAAGCAATTCTTCTTGTTCTCATTAGATTCCAATCTGTTGGCCGTGTTAGATCATGATTTGAATTCAATTGGAACTGAAATATTTAACAATGTCTAGTTTTTTCTACCTCCAAGACAATTCCATTAGATGTGTGCTTGTAGGCAAACTGACTGAATGATATTAAAATCAGATTATTGGTAGCCTTTTCATCAACTGTCTTTTTGTATTAATGATCCAGCAGTATGTGTATATTTGTACTGAACTTTAAGAATGATTGTGTTCTTAGGCTCTTACAATATTAACTTGGAAATATGATGCAATTAATTCAGATTTTGCCTTTTTAAAATTTGTTATTGTACCTCATGTAGATTGGTCCCAATGCGGCCTGTTTCCATGGCAACGAATTGCAGAAAGGAGCAACAGTGAAGTTATCCAAGGATGACTGCTTTGAGCTTCTCCAAGGAAAGTATGAGTACAGTGTGTACTTTAGCGATACTCAGTCAGAGAGTCCAGGTACGTCGACCGGTAAATCATCTGGAAACTCAATGAAATCAGACACAAAAGACAAGACGGACAAAGAAGAGAGATTGAATGAGGGGAGGAAGCAAGTAAAATCCGCCAAGAAGAGACCTCTCGATAGTGATGGCGATGATAGTGATAGTGGAAAGGAAGAGGAACCAGAGAGTAAGAAGATCAAGAAGGAAACGAAACCGTCAGAGGATGACATCGATCAGAAGTTGGCTGCGCTGCAACGGAAAGCGGAAGATGCAGAACGGAAACAGAAAGCCAAGAAGCTTAACGAGCCCAACGAGAGCAAGAGTCTTAAAGCCAGTCGAATGGGTGAAGGAGGAGAGAGGACATCACCTGGTGTGTCGAAAGGGAATGGGAATGGGGACACATCTGGTGGAGGAAGTGGTGGTGGTGCCCCTGCAGCTGGAAGTGGGAAACCCAGCACTGTGGAAGAGTGGAAGGAAGATGGCAAGCTGCTGGTTTATAAGAGTGTAGGAGTGAAAGCAGGCTCAAAGGTAATATGCTTGGTGTGCTGATTAGAGTTTTTAAAGTGTTTACTACATGCCGTATGTATGATTGAAAGCGATTATTTGCAGGGTTTATCTTGATAGGACAGAGCAAGAGGTTAAAATTTACCCTTTTTTTTAAAGTCGTAAGTAGTTGAAATGAGTGTGACAAGCCTTAAAAGTTAATAACAAGATGATGCTTTGCATGAAGTATTTCCTGAAGCCTTTTTATTATACATCTATCATAACTTGTGAGATATAGCATTAAAGTTCTCTTTATACATACAACTATTTATAATGATGTGTTGTGGGTTCACCATGTTTTAAGAACATTAAAAAGGGACATTAAGGATAAATCATTCCCAACGTACATTAATCTTTGAAACTAGTTGTGTTACTATCCCGTTGCATCTCTCTAATTCTTCCCCAGGTAGCAGGCTTTGACATGGACGGCACACTGATAACCACATCCTCAGGGAAGGTCTTTGCTCAGAATGCAGATGACTGGAAGTGAGTCCATGATCAAAATGGTTGCTAGTTTGTCATTATCGATCAAGCTTTGTATAATTCTAATTTCTACATTTTCATCAACGTCCACAGTCACTTTATGTTGACATCTGCGGCCTGGTGATATGTCTTCGTATTTCTGTCAACTTCTCAATATTTCATCACTTTCTCATTTCATATGCAAGCATATGTTTGTGGATAAAGATTGCTCTCTGCAGGGGCATCCTCAGTGTTGTCAAGTAAAGCGGTACCATTGTTGAAGGTTGATGTAAGAAATGTAACTTATTATATTCCTTCTACTGTACTACTAATCCTCAAACATGCAAACAATCCTGAACAAATTCTCAAACCACAAAGATAGTTATGGTTTTCTTTGAAGGCGTCACTGTGCAACACCCTCTAACAGGTAATTCTCCCAACCAATTTTTGAACTTTCCTGACTTTTTTTCCCATGAAAATAGGACATAAAACAGGCTTTTAAATTAGGCCTGAGTCATGTCGGGTTTTTCATAAACCGGGTCCTGACGGCCTTGCACCGATCGGGACCCGGTGTCCCGAAATCAGCTCGCATGAATTGTCACTTGCCTCTATAAAAAGCGCATATCGTCAGTATGTCCCTTAAAAGTGACCTTTTTTATCAGTCAAATAAATCAACACATGCATACCTCGGCACAGATTGGTATATTCTTCCATTTAACATTATTTTCATCAGGGTTGTTTGATTTAAATCATGTCGATTTAAATCATGATTTAAATCGCGATTTAAATCACTTGATTTTTTTCAAAAAAATCACTGATTTAAATCAACTTTTATGAAAAAAATTAGTTTTCTCTATTTTCTCTTCTTCTTAAAGATAAACTCCAGTACTGGTAAAAAAAAAAAAAAATTCTCACAGAATCAAACGAAACTTACCCTGAATGTTCAAGATTACAAATAAATGACATGTGCCAAACAATTTTGGAAGAAAATGTATACTGGCTGAGTAATGAGCATAGAAAGACATGGAAATCAAGGTAGTACTAGCCCCGACATCATGTGTGTTGTCCCATATATAGCTTTCTATGTGAGTGCTTGTTACTTTACCAAGACTCGGTCAAATTTATTATGATTTTGATGACTCCAGAACCTTGCAGTGCACATCAATACTTACATGCTACATGATCAACTGTTTCTGATCCTTTCCACACCTTTTCTTTCACAATGCAATGGCATTACCAGTACTAAAGTTTATCTTTAACAGATACTTTCAATGTAATCATTTTCATTTCTGTTCCACATGCTTTAGAGATACTTTAAAAGAATGATACACCCTCATGGAGTCTGATTTAACACCACTGTTTTATTTTCAAATTGTAAAACAAGCAAAACTGATGAAAACAACAAGTTTCTAACGAAGTAATGATAAATAAATCTCTGTATGTACACCAAACTGTTAAATCTTCAATAAAATAATATATAAAATCTACAAAGGTGCTCAAAGTCCACAACTTGGATACTTTTACAAAACAGCTGAACTACTTGTATGTACCTCCTTCTTGTTACTATTAATACCCATTCTTTCAATTACTTAAGTTGAAGGCATATGTGTACATTTGATAAGAATTACATGTATATTTGCATGCTTGTGTATTTTCTTATCAATACCCATACATTCAATTACACAATTTCAAAGTACACATGTATACTTAATAAGTAAGAATTTAAAAATGGGAAAGTTGCTGGGCAAGTGTTACTGTATGCAGCAATACAACTGCTGTGCTTCCTTGTTCATGTAATAGTTTGAAAAAACAGCACATCAATGATGTGGTGGACAGTGGTGCTTATCCTGCATCTTGCAACGAAATTTATTGAAGTTTTATTTGGAACTGAGGTTACACTGTAATGAAAACATAAAATGTGTATTTTGTTACAAGCATATCAGGAAGTGCCAATTGCAAATCTGGTTAAATATTACATTCAAATTAGATGTTAACGTACAGACTGATATAAAAATTTCAAGAGTTTAAATGTATACATAATACATAACATTACTTGGGCTTCCATAAAATGTCCCTCTCTATAATGCAAATAAATTAAAAAAAAAAAAAAAAAATTACCTGTATATAAGTGGATTATTGTGTCAAATAGTACAATACACAATGTTCAAAAGACTACTTGACCACTATTATTGGTGTAAAACAGTTTAAATATAGTCTAAAACTTGTTAAGTGTGACCATTATTTTTCGTTGGAAAAAAATAAAAAAAATCTGATTTAAATCTTAAAAATCCGATTTTTTTGATTTTTTTAAAAAAATCGAAAAAATCAACAACCCTGATTTTCATCCATGATTGGCGATGTTTAGTGCCATTATCGTGCCTCTCAAAGTAAAAAAAACTCGAGCAAAAATATAAAGACAACATTCGAGCCGCCATTTTGATTCATGCAGGTTGAATAAATCGGGTAAAAAAAAATGAATGTTAGAATTATAAAACGGCTTTCTAAAAAAATCTTCTTTACAACATACCGATCAAATAATTTGTTAAAGACAATAAATATTTATCTCTTTTTTTAAACATTGCATGCTTTTTTTTAAAAGCTGAAAATTACTTGGTAATCACAAGAAGTTTCGATACGGATAGCTGTTGCAAGGCAAGTTCAGACTAATCTCGGAAAAATGCGCAGTGCTCCTCGTTGTTAGCTGTAATGCGTGCCAGAACGAACCCAAACAAAGACGTGATCGTAACAAGAAAAAATCATTAAAAAATACGAGAGTACAATTGGAAAGACAGCTACTCAAAATTGTCGTACGCAGATACATAACTTGGAGGAAGAATACAATATTTGTCCAAGAAAAGCCACAGAAATTGTGATAATCGAGGAGTAACTGGGTACATTTTTATCGCAAGGGGCCTGCTGCAATACTCGAATCCTTTGTTATACTGCTTTTTATCATAGAGGGCGGTATTTGTTTTCGATCTAGCCTCGTGTTCAATTTACACACGTGTAATTCGGAGCAGCAGGCCCATTCGATAATGATTGTACCTATAGTAACTCCTTAAATATCACTATTTCTGTGGCTTTTCTTGGACAACTATTGTATTCTTCCTCCAAGTTATGTATCTGCGTACGATAATTTTGAGTAGTTGTCTTTCCAATTGTGCTCTCGTAGTTTTTAATGATTTTTTCTCGTTACGATCACGTCTTTGGGTTCGTTTTGGCACGCATTACAGCTAACGATGAGGAGCACTGCGCATTTTTCCGAGACTAGTCTGAACTTGCCTTGCAACAGCTATCCGTATCGAAACTTCTTGTGATTACCAAGTAATTTTCAGCTTTTATAAGAAGCATGCGGTGTTCAAAATCAAAGAAAAAATATATATTTTGTCTTTTAAAAATTATTCGATCGGTATGTTGTAAAGAAGTACTTTTTAGAAAGCCGTTTTATTATTCAAACATTAATGTTTCTTTCAACCTGATTTATTAATCCTGCCGAGAGACCCGGCCAGTACAGTAGCTGGCTAGCAGCTGGCAAAACCCCATGGGGCGAACTGCTTTGCAATTTATATCAGCAGTTCGGATTGATTCAGGATGAGCTAGAATATGATTGGTAACAATTAAATACTTAAGTTTTAAGGTGGATTGATTTTAGTGGTGTGCAAAACTGCAATTTCTTTATTTTTTTCGGAGCGTCGGTTCTCAAAAAACGAAACCGGGACCCGACGGCAACGGTCGGGTCCCGGTGTGATCGACCGTACCGACTCAAGCCTATTTTAAATATCTTTCAACATATAGATGTTTAGAATGGTATATAGAGCCAATTTATTGCTTTGTGGCAATTTACATTCACCTAAAATTTAATTCAATTATAAGAATATAGTTGGGAGAACTCAGGAATCGATCAGGTCAGTTTTTTTCAAGTTTTTATCATTAATAATGGTCTGTTTTTACTCAAACTTTCAGATTATCTTTAAATGGACATCTGGCATTAAAGTCACCACCTTAGCACCATTTTTTCTCATCTGAACAATGTTACCAAGTCCCTATAACATTATTCTAGGTCCTTTATGACTTAATCCATGCATCCTTAATATGCACCAGTCTTCCCCAGTTTACTTCATTTACCTTTTTACTAACCCGGTACTGATGTACAAAAAGCAAGCACAAGCAATCAATAACAATACTTTTGTTGACAGCAGAATGTTTTTTTCCACTTTTTTCTTTCAGAATCATTTTCTCTGAAGTGCCTGGCAAACTAAAGAAGCTGCATGAAGGAGGATACAAGGTGATTCAAAGTCTAAGATACATGCTTATCAAAGGGGAGAGATTCTCGAATAGTACATAAACTGGATGTAAGAAAAATGTAGAACATTAAGAATGGGAATCAAATGATGATTGTTGATTTAATGTCCACAGTGGTCTTGCCTCATTTCTATGGCATTTGTCATCATTTTTTGTACCAATCACTTTCATTTTATATGTCACCTGAATTGATAACTATTTTCAAAGTTTTTATGCCTCCCCCATGGGAAAGAAATGAGCCTGCCGCATACTCCTGTAGCAGACTTGCCGCAGATCTGCAGCTGACCTGCCGCAGACAGTCATCTTTTTCACATGCAAATTAGCTTTGCCGCAGACTTCCCGCAGGCTTGCCGCAGACATGCCGCAGACTTTTCATCATGGATATCCATAGAAAAGGCTATTACAAAGAGTCTGCCACAGACTCCTTTATCATGAATATTCATAGAAAAGGCTATAACAAAGAGTCTGCTGCAGACTAGAAATTCCATCTAGTTTACCTCTGTAATCCTTCAATTACACAACTAAAGATATCAAGAGCATGACTAATTTTCACCGCATAATGGTAGGACGAGTTCATTTGTCGTTCATAACAAATCATTTGTCTGTTCGTAACGATTTGTAGATAGTAATTTTCACCAACCAACTTGGGATCAGCAAAGGCAAACTGAGTGTCAAAGACTTCAGGAGAAAACTCTGCAACGTCCAGAAAAAGCTCGGAGTGCCCATGCAGGTAAAGCAATTCTCCTTAAAGTAAATTTTCAAAATATGTAAAAGGAGGAAAAGCATTAGCTCTGATAACATATATATGGTGAGAAAAAAAAATCTTTTATTTTAAAGGTACTATGTCCCTTTTGCAGCCAACCTCGAATTCTGTAGAACTTTGCAGGAATTATGAATATGTCATGTATGTCCTATCTGTGAAATTTAAACTTTAGCAGTGTCCTCATATTAAAATTAGGCAAGGAAACCCGTTTACTTGCTAGACTTCACTGTCAGACACTATTGAGTGACTGACTGGCTTTTTTTTCTTCTTTGGTAATAACATACATGAAAAGAGTTGTAAAGGATACATGAGCATTTGTCTACATCAATACCCCACTTCTTGTGATGGCCAAGATTAAACTGATTAAATCTTTGCGCAGCATAAAACGTATGACCATTCGGTACAATTGTCTGAAAATCAAGACTATTACTTTTGGGCTCTATAGCCCTAAAGTCGATTTGACAACTAATAGTCGTTATTTTTCCACTTGAAGACATTTTCAAGCCCCACCTTTTTTTAGGGAAGTTCTTAATTAGTATTATCTTTCAAATGCAGTTGGAATCTAACTTTTTCATTTTTTTGGCCTGCAAATGGGACATAGCACCTTTAAAAGAAGTCCACATTTATGATGAAGGGCACCAGACTGAAGTTATAAAAAAAACTATACCGGTACATGTATTTGTAACAATTTACTCACAATTTATTCTTGTATGGCATACTGCATATAAATTGGTATGACTACTTATATTTTGATATATTTCATTGTTCATCAACAAGCTACTATATATTTGCTACCAAAATCTTTTAGAAGATACAATTCATTCATAAATTTAAAACATTCAGTGTAAAACCTTGAGTGATTCTGTTCGAATCTTTTTGCCCCACCACCATAACTTGTGGATTATCTTAAGGATTCCCTCTTGTTATCCAGAGCTCCATGTGATGGTTCTTTGACATATGATCTGGCAATGATTGCTGTACAATCAATTTCATACTTGAAGAAAACTATTAACCTGTATACTGGACCCAATACTATACCTACGTGTACCCAAACCCAAACCTCTAACGTATTCAAATTTTAGGATGTTTCTTTCCTGGGGACCTAGTAATGTGTATTTCCACTAACCTGTTCTTAGTGAACAGACCTGATAAAAACCCGATTTAAATCGGTTTCCCGATTTTTTCCTGATTTTTTTCTTCTTCTCGATTTAAAAAAAAAAAAAAAAAAAATTGATTTTTTTTTTTTTTTTTTTTTTTTTTTTTTTAAATTTATTTTCTTCTTCCGTATTTTATCCTAATTTTCCAGATTTCTCCCTTATTTTCACTTTTCTTCCCTATTTTGCCCTATTTTTTCCCAAATTTTCTTACTCGAAAGAGGGGGAATGTTGTTAGATGCCATTTTTTCCCCGCGAATCCTCTTCTTTTGTTTTACTCAAGGGGGGCGTGGTTGAGGGGAAAACAAAAAAGCTATTTTGTTTAGTGCTCACTATCACCCCTGAGTGAAGGAGCTACAATACTTGTTATCCAGTCTGCATACATTACTTGTTGCTATGTTGGGCAAGCCTCGGGCAAGCTTTCAGGTTGTCAAGAACAACCTTTGATTTAAAAAGCATGCATAAAATATGGATCTGTTAGTGAACCGCTCTATTGCAACCCTAACCCTATATTTAGATGACATAACACTCTACAGTCAAATTTTCCAGAGTACCGATTTGATCTCTTCCGTTTCATGATTCAGGCTTTTGCTGCTACGTCAGGAGGTGTATACCGCAAGCCTATGACAGGGATGTGGGAATACTTCCAATCGAAAGGCAATGACGGTATCACTGTTGATATCAAGGCTAGCATCTATGTTGGAGGTAAGGAATTTGTTATTTCTCTCTCTCTCTCTCTCTCTCTCTCTCTCTCTCTCTCTCTTTCATTCTCTCTCTCTCCCGCTCCTCCCCCTCTCCCCCCCTCTCTCTCTCTCTCCCTCTCTCTAATTATCCATCAGTCATTTTAATTACCATCACAAATAGTTTTTGCATTGCTTGTGGTTGTGAATAGTGACTACCAGTAATGATGTTTCTTAAATGTTTGTTATTATTACATTGTCCGTTCAAAGTCTTAAAGGCTCTTGACTGTCATACAAAAGGTTTGGGGTTTCATTCCTCGCTCTGTGCTTTCATCCTTGGACAAGGTTTTATGCTCACATGCTCGCAAGAGGGCCGTAAGAGCCTTGTCAATGACATTAACAGCCTTCATCCCTGCCTGCAATTTTCCCCTCTTGACCTAGGCTTATGAAATGGATGTATGTTACTGCTTGAGAGACAACAATTGCAGAGCCTGCAGGAAGAGCAGTATTGATATTCATGTAGCCACCCTAGGTAAATAGTAAAGACCCTCAAGTTACTATTTTTATATTACTGACAGGGGTTTAAACCCTTATCTCATTTTTTCTCTTGTTTTGTCCTCTTAGATGCGGCAGGCAGGCCAGCAGACTGGACCCCTAAGAGGAAGAAAGACTTCTCCATGAGTGACCGTCTGGTAAGAAGCCATGAATATGAAACATAACTCTAAAACTCTTGAACTTTATGTTGTAAAAGCTGTACTTATCATTCACATCCAAGTTTATTTTCAGATTAAAATGTTTTGGAGACATTCTTCACTTTGTTGTTGTTGATTCATCCACAGGTGCACATTACAGGTGTTGATGATTGATTGATTTGTAATCTTTTTAACTATTGTATTATTTTTCCTACAGTTTGCCCTGAATGTTGGTATTCCATTCAAGACACCTGAAGAGTTCTTCTTGGGCTACAAACCAGCCAAGTTCAACATGCCAGCCTTTGATCCAGTAAGTTTACTTTTAAAGGTTACCAGGGACTTTGCCCTAGACTTTCATGGTCATGGCATTAGATTGTGTAAATTCATTTTCCGTCTAATACAAGCTTGCTTTCAGCTTGAAGACATCTAAATATTTGATGGGCCTCTTGTAATTGGTGATTTTTTAAAAGTTTGATAGATAATGCCATTTTTATTGTTCTGAAGGAAGGTTTCTGTCTAGAATAACAAACTGCTGTAGAGAGTGGTTTCGTAGAACTAATTAAATGAATAATACATCCTCCCCCCCCCCCCCCCCAAAAAAAAAGGGAGAGAAAGAGAGTGAAAGAAAATGTGTTGAGTGTGCTACACATAAACAAATATGAAATATGAAAATATATTTAATTCTACTGTGTACATTTTAGGAGGGAATATCTGGAAATTGAATATACAGAAAATGTTTAATATGTACCCTAGCTCAGAAGGCATGAACTTCACAGTACTTTGGAAGTGATAATACCTTCTACTTTCTAGCCCACAACCTCATACGTTGTAATTATGACAAAATAATACAAGTGTTTTAGATCACATTTAGTGTACAGAAAGGTTTATGTTTACTGTTTATTGTTTCATTTGATTTATTACAGACAACCGTCTCCACCAGTACGCCATTGTTCCACCCACCAAGTACCGCATTGCCTGCCAGTGTGCAAGAGGTAAGGAATCAATTACATTTTGCTTGAGCTGATACTAAGCTACTCTTATTTTTACGACTGATAGAACTTGTTTTTCTTCATGATGATAACCCACTGTGTACAGCAAGTTGAATTTAATTCATCAGCTAGTATTTCCATCCCTTGTTTATACGTTACATTCCTTTTATTCACCTTGCCATATTGTTAATGTATTTATTTTGTTGACTATAGGGCCCCGCTCACAAGCTTAGCTTCTAAAGGGTCCCTAAAACCATTCATTTTATGATGTAATCAAGTCAACATATGTTGATTAATGTACTATTACCAGTCTCTTTTTAAAGTTAAAGATTATATCATGTTTTGTGTGGTTTTGAATAAAATGAACTTGAACTTGAAATCAAATAGCATAATGATGATGATACATTATGCTTTTTCACGCACATCGTACAGGAGTTTGTCTTCATGCACTTCTAATACATAGGATATCAACAAAGACAATCTACTACAATAGAATCATAAAACCAGTAAATATTATGGCACAATAGAATGACATGATAAACTGCATGGGGTACAAGTTGAAACTTAGTTTTATGACATTAGGATTAAATCAGATTTAATGAACCTTAACTCTTTAACTACCACAGATTTAGAGTATCGCCATGTTATGTTTGTAGAGCTTTATCAGTCATGCCTTACCCCCAAAATGTTGAAAGTTACCCAAAGACTTGCTAAAAACCTTGGGTCACACATACTTGGAACTGCATCATAAGAATATAATACATCTGTCACATTATTTCATTAGAAAATGGAATTGCATAAAAGTGAAACTGTTCTTGAAAGGTTAGGGCATCAAAACTCCTTTAATCCAAATTATTGTTGTATTTTCTTTTTTTATACAGGTTGTCATACTGGTTGGATTTCCTGCATGTGAGTACTGAGCCAAATTTTTGTTCATTCACTGTGCATATTTTATACAAAAATATAGTATGTTTTGATTGCGATTTTGGAGTGGCGATTTCGGAGTGACGATTTTTAACGAAAATTCAAACTTTGTATATGTTTACTTAAGAGAGTCTTTACTTGAAACTTTTGTGCATTTTCTCAACTCTTGTGTTATTTGTATTGGATACACGTAAAGAATATACCAGTAGGTCTAAGAGAAGGGAAGATGGTAACAGCAGTGATATGTTTGCTATTTCTATTTTGATGCCCATCATTCACTAACGATTTTTGTTTGATTTTTACTTTTTGACAGCTGGAAAGAGCACATTTGTGAAAAATCATGTACTGCCGCACAAATATGTTCATGTGAATAGGGTAAGTCCCGATTATTTTGTGTAAATATACCTTGTGAATAGAATAATGCAACTTGTATCATTTATTGTAAATAGTCTCAAAATGGCAATGCTTTCAGATTCAAATGAAGTTTGAATTGCAAGGTGTAGTTAATTCTGTCTCAAAATGCTTGAAGAAAAGAAAATTGTTTATATGATAGTTGTGGTGATTCATCACTAAAACTGTGTTAAAAGAAGTTTGACTTTCCTTTCCTTGCTCCATCCATGTAATTAATAGACAATACATTAACAAATATTGCAGTTGTTATCGCCAAAATGCATTGTCTTTGGTAATGTTTATCTTAGTGATTATTATTATGGCTGACAAAATGCTTTTGATTCCTTTTTAGAATTTGCGAATTATTGTGCATCATGGCTTTCCAAATGTTAAAATGAAAATTTTTTGCACTTCCATGTTCTCCTGGCATTTCTTTCTGATTACAGAGATTTTTTTTCTTTATTTGTCTGTATATTACAGGATACCATGGGCTCATGGCAGAAGTGTGTAGCTGCTTGCTCCTCTGCTCTCTGCAAGGGTCAGAGCGTGGTCATTGACAATACCAATGCAGATGTAGACTCAAGAAAGAGGTAAACTCAAAGAGCCAAAAAGCCGATTTCCTTATCAACGTATTCCTTATCGTGTAGAGTCTGAACAAAATGAAAAGTTTCTAAACAAAATACATCATAGGCGAATGAGTATTTCAGCAGTATAGTCCTTGCTCCTTCTCTTGTGTACCTTTTGCAGTGTAAGGGGGGGGGGGTGAGAGGCTTCCATGTTAATATTGGAAATGCATTGAACTAGAAGAAGTTTTAAGAAAGTGCCTTGACAAAAAATTGGTTCAAAATAAAATATTTAATTTCATAGTAACCAAGTCAAATCAGCAAATTTTGAAGAAATTGGAAGAAAAAAATGAATATCATTTTCAAGCTTTTAAAATTTCTTAACATTTGATATGTTTTCTTTCCCTTCCAGATATGTTGACTGTGCCAAGAAGGCTAATGTCCAGTGCAGATGTTTTTCTTTCACAACTACCTTTGACCATGCAAGACACAATGAAAAGGTAAAGATTTATAGGTTATCAGATTTATAGATAATAGAAATTCCAGTATTACTCAGAACGGTGACTTGTCTTGACTTTATATACATGAATGTTTGATTGACCAGTAATTTGAAAAGACCCTACTATCTATTCTGATATTTTGGGGCATGTCAATAGTAGGATCCTTGTTATATGCCAAATTCCATAGTTTTATGACGCTTCGTAGGTGAGATCTAGTAGGGAGGGGGGGGGGGCACTTGTGCGAGTAAAATTCTTCAATGACTTTCTTTCTACAAGAAAAGGTCAGATTTATAGGTAATATAACTTACTAATAGTATTACTCAGAAGGGTAACTTGTCTTGACTTAATATACATGAATATCTGATGTTTGACCAGGAATTTCATCAGACACTACCCCTTTTCTGATATTTTGGGCATATCAATATTAAGATGCTCTTTATTTGCCAAATTCCATAGTTTTATGACACTCCATGGGTGAGTTCTAGAAGGTGGGGGGGGGCATTTGTGCAGGTAAAAATTCTTCAATTAATTTCTTTCTAAAATGCATAAATGTTTATTTCACTCCCCACACAGTTCCGGCAGCTGACTCCCGCTGGAAAGAACCACGCTTCCATCGCGGACATGATCTTCTACACCTTCAGGAAGAATTTTGTGGCGCCGAAAAAGGAGGAAGGTTACTCGGAGGTCGTTCAGGTCAACTTCCTGCCGACCTTCAACAACAAAGATGAGGAGAAACTCTACAAGAAATTTCTTCTGGAGAAGTAATCAGAACTGTGATAACAATTTTAATGTCAAAATACAGGAAGGATTGGCAATCTTCTTGGAAGAATTTACGGATTCCAAAGGATCGTACTTTGAACGACCTCCTTCAACTACAAGAACAAAGATTAAGAGAAAGTCTGTAAGAGAATAAAATATCTACTGATCATCAATCAGCTGTCATGACCAGAAAAGATTAGAGACTTGGTGGGAAGAAGTTGATACTTCTGAGCAGGCACATAGCCACGGGGGGCATGGTGGGGCACGTGCCCCCCAAAAATATCCGAGATCAGTTGAACTTTTTTAGACCCCTTTTTTTTACCTCGATCGATTACATGTATGTGCCCCCCCCCCCCCCCCCCAAACATCAAACTCTGGCTACGTGCCTGCTTCTGAGGGAGGATACTCGGAGGTTGTTCAGCTCAACTTTCTTCCATCTTTCAACAACAAAGATGAGGAGACACTCTACATGAAGTTTCTTCTAGAGAAATAAGCAAAATATTAATTGTCTTCAATCAGCTATCATAAACTGAACGTGTGATATGTTGTGGGCAAACAAAATTAAACGTTCTCATGAAAGGGACTTGAGACTTTTCCTCACCTTCTCTAAGAAAAAGAGATGAGAAATCTGTATAAGAAATGTGCAGAATATATATATTTGTGTGTGTATTTCAACATCACAAGGCATTAGATTCTTTGTAGGACAAAGTTAGCAGTAGGTCGCAAGGAAAGGTGCTCACAGCATGTCAGTTTCAGGTCAACTCTTTGCCACCCTTTAACAACATAGCTGAGCAATTATATTTCTTCTGGAGAAATTAATAGAATATCTTTGACCTGTATGACATGTTGTTATTATGTCAACAACCGGGATAGTTCAAGACTTCATAAGGAGGGTTTAATGTCTCAAAGGAATAATTACATTAGATGATTGGATATCAACCCCTACTATTCTTTGAGTACAAAGCGGAGGAGAAGATTCTTGGTCCTAAATCAGCTGTCATGAACAGAAAAATTAGAGACTTGATGGGAAGAAGTTGGATGCTTCTGAGGGAGGATACTCAGAGGTTGTTCAACTCAACTTTCTTCCAACTTTCAACAACAAAGATGAGGAGAAAGTCTACAAGAAATTTTTTGAGGAGCATAAGCATCAAGACTTATATTGGATATAAGAAGGATTGCTTATACAGTTTTTACCGCATGAATTAATGAAGGAATATAACAAGTCATTGTAGGTAGAACTATATGCTTCCGAGGAATAGTACTGTAGAGTTATTATACAGATTAAATTCAAATTCTCAGATCAAATACAATGATGAAAGTGTGCAGAAGAGAAGAACTTTGGAGAAATAAGATAACCTATTGGACCCGGAGAAAAATGTTCAAAATCAATTTTTGTGACATCTGTAAACCTTCTAATTAGGAATGACTTCAGGTCACTCATTACGATAGAGAGATTTGTCAAGTGGAATAACCAGGGAGACATCAGTAACTTTAGGCAGGTGTTGGTTGGGGGTGTTCAAGAAAACCTTCTGTGAAAGATGACTTATTGTCTAAAACAAAAATATTGTTATGGAGTTTTCCTTCAAGGAAGTAGTTACTTTGAAAGGTTGGATATGACTTGACTCGATAATGTTGATTGTTTTTGTTGTAATTTTGTTAACCATTTGATCTATTTTTTAAGTTTAACAAAATTCAAATTTCAGTAGGTTAATTATCAGGATTTTAAAAATCCTTTTTATTTTCTAATCTGCTCTACTTTTTAGTAGTATTTAAAATACATACAATACTATTGATTACAGTTGTTTGCCTCACATTGTTGAGATTATGCTTATTAATTATTCATGATATCTGATTTGCCCTATTCAATGTTCAACAGGTGGTAACAAATTGTTTTCTTTATGGTATCAGGAAGTAGGCTGAAGATATCATTTTTGGGTTCAATATTTTGTCCGCATCACACATTCAATACTTTTGTTTTTATCTGATACAGTAGTACAATTAGCCTATTTTTAAATCAATCGTAGTATATATTTGAAGGCCATATCAAGAAATGTGATATGAAAATTAGATTTGACTAATTAATGGTAATATTATAAGAATTGTTGTTATACTCCAATATATATATTGGAAAATGGTGTTCAATGTAATGTGAGGAGATGATGATCCTTTCAGTAAAATTAGAGATTGTCAAATCATTGAAAAGGATGACAACACTTGACCTTAAAATACTTCGAAAGAATAACGTTGCATGTAATGCACATTTGTTTTAAAGAAATAAAACGTGGCTGATCTTGTAACTGTCCCTATTAAATTTTGACATTTTTATGCAGAAAGTTTTGTGCGTGAGTACTGGTATGAGAGTATAGGTGTGTACATATTTTTAAGGTTGAGGATAGGAACGGTGTGTGTGTGGGTGTGTGTGTGTGTGTTGGTGAGAGACACAAGTTCAAGGTATTTTGTTGATGGGCTATATTAAGCAGTTACATTTTTTTGTAACAAGGGAGTTTTCAGCATTTGGGGGGCTCCTGTTGCTAGTCAAGGTTGCTAATTTTGCACTTATCATAAAAAAAGTTGATTAAAAACAATGTTGGGATAAATGGCCAAACAAACAGGAATCAAACATGAATTAAAGTTTAGGGTAGTGTTTTTTTTTTTAATGAACGCACATTTCTGTAAACAGTACATCAGTGGCATATCCAGAAATTGACTCCCATAGCCCCGAATGATGTAAGCTTATTAAAATGGGAGGGGGTTATCCTGTCCGATGTCCGTGTACTGCAATGTGATTGGTCAAAAGTTTTAAAACTACGCTGGGATCTGCATAGTTTCGAAATGTGATTGGTCATTGTACCACGCGGATACCTCGATAGTGCGTTGACCCCATAGAGTCACACACCACGTCTAAAATGGCGACCCCCTCAAGTGACAAATCACCGTTGTTGGTAAATATTGAAGAGGATTCTGTGGAAGTTCTAAGTCCCAACGCACAAGCAAGACATTCTTCGGCTAGATCAGATGTTTCTGAAGGAAGGAAAGACACAGAGAATGACAGAGTACCAGAACCAGACGATGTTATCGCGATTTTCGTCGTGGCTTTCGACACACGGTCAGGTACGTTGACGTGCTTTTCGTTCGGTACAGTGCAGTGCGATGTTCATGCATATGTACCAATAACTGTGCCGCTGGTGCGGGGCCCATGTCCAGCGCTGGCCGCTGGAGCTCCCTCAGTAACACCAGGGGCTAGTCCTAACAGACTGCAGTTTCAGTGGAGTGTTCCCACCTACATCTTTTATTACTTCTGAGAATCGTATTGAAATTATGACGGGGTAAATCGTTGTTCAAAATGACCAGTTATTCTAACTTAATAATATGCTTGGTGCTAATTCAGATTTCAGAATCATATCCATACTTTGCCAGTTTGACCCGTAACTCTGGCGTAATTGAGATAGGGTCTAGCCTTCTAAGTTCTAGTTCTACTGAAAAAACATACCAAAAAAGATAGGAAAATTGACATGAAACAGATGAGAAACATAACAACTTTTAAATCATGACCATTATCTGAACAATTGATGAAGATTTAGTTGATTCTTGGTATGTTTTAGTTAAGTAGAGTTACGCCGGTCAAAGTATGGATATGATTCTGAATTAGCGCCATATGCTCTACCACAAGCAGTAAATCTAGATGTATAATTTATTCAGATTGACACTGACAATGACAGCTCCAATCAATGACATGTTTTTAAAGAAAAATGAAAAGTCTGTTTTTTTCTCTCATTTTATTTTGTTTTAACATGTTTACCGATAACAAGGTTATTCTAACTTTGGGTAGGTTAAACAAAAACCTATCATTTTGACGGTTTACAAATATTGTGAAACCAAGACAACAGTACCCGATAGTCATCATGTCATGATCTAGACCTTGGCCTTGGAAGCACCTGGTTCTGCAGAAGCAGGTGCACATGCACAGGTGTTGTGTTTGCTGATATTGTGTCATTTCCTGTCCTGAAAATTAGAAATAGAGGATGATTAAAAATCGGGCAAAGTACTAAAAAGTTAAAAGTGATTGTTTTAAATGTGTCACAAGCATTACAACATGTAAGTTCATTAGTTCAGTGTCTATACTGATTCGAACTTCAACATTTAGTCGTGCTGTAGTATAAGAGTGCTTAAAATTGTCAAATTTTTGCAATTTTTTGAATTTTGAGGCAGATTTTTAAAAAAAATCTTCAGAATTTCCTCCCAATCTGCCAATCCGATACTGATATTGGGAGCCAAACTGCTAATCATAGCTCTAACTTACAGCGTTAGTTAAGATGCCCCCAATTTGTGTGTTATCATATTAATAATAATTATATCAATTTTATTCATTTGGTTGTCATTAAAAAATTTCAGGTAATATAGTAGAATGGTCACAGCCCGATGACATCAACCTCGATGGAGTGGAGTTCAAAGCCATGGCTAGCGGGTCACATACTGTCTTAACAGATTTTATGTAAGTAAGACAATTGTTATCACTATCAGTAATGACAAATAGTACAATGCTAGTATATTACCCCCCATGTTGTTGTAATCTCAAATATTTGATCATCATTATAACCTTTAAAAATCGATTCAATCATTCATTTGGACTGTGAAAATGTTTCATTATACATGTAGTCATAGAAATTTTCCATAAGGAATTGTTTGAAAGTTAACTGATGGTTGTAAATTATTACCAGTATGTGTTTAAAAGATTTCCCCCAATTTTTTGTTTACTTTGCTTTCAGATTTCCTAATTAATTCAAATGCGTAAACTAAATGAGATATATGAGTTAGATTCTTTGTTGTTTTGTTTGTAATACTGCTGGGTGCTGTCTATAACAGCTTGCATAATTTTACATCTACCGGTAAGCATTTGTAATTTGCCAAAATCTTTATTAGTAATTTTATAAGGATTACCCATTCATTTCCCCTCTTCTGTACATCTTTAAAATTGAAAATGCTTGTACCGGTAAGTCCTTTTATTTGGCTCTTTCAAATACTCAAATTTTATTGTCAAATCACATAGACCATATAATATATAAGGCTGCAGACATCAACCATATAGTAAATTAGGCACAACATTTAGAAAACTTCTAATGAACTTTTATTTCATACAGCTATTTCAGGAAAGACAAGTACTATGGTCTGAGCTGTTTTGAGAACATGCATGTTGAGAATGCAGCTGAGAGGGGGGCGAGGATGAAATCTGTTGGGTTCTCTCCACATCTTACACCACACTACACAGACACATGCAATTCTTAGAACGCCAGGTCAGGTAAGGTTATATCTCAATCCATCATTGTAGCCACACCACCAAACTGACTACCAATTGAAAATTAACAGATTCTTGTCCATTTGTAGTAGTGTAGATTTTTGTTTGGTCTGTTGTCGGTCTTGTTAGTGTGACTGAGGTAATGGTCAGAAGAGGAATGGTCATCTGATTCTGAATACAATTAAAGTATTTAAAGCTGTAAATATACATTCATAAAAAAACACTTCTGAATTGTACTGTGATAAATTAATAAGTAACTGCCTAAATGAGCAAATGAAACGGGTCAAATGAGTTTGTTTACAAAGAAGTGATCATATCAGAAACTTATAATAGTAGTGGTAGTGTTTATTTTACCTGACTGCTAAGAAAGCATAAATGCTTGTTAGTAAGCAACCAGAGGACCGACGGCTTAAGGTCCTCTCCGAGAGACCTGGTAATGAAGATTAATGCCTTACCAAAGGGCACTAGCGCATCGTCTTGGTTTCGAACCCGGGTCACCGGATTACGAGACCACTGCTCTACTGACTGAGCTATCCTGTCCAGAAGCTCCTTGAAGCTATCTCATGGTGAAGCAAACCTTACGCACTGTATTAGGATTTATTCCAAATTCACAAAGGCATTCCTTTCTGTATACTCTTTGTGCAAGAAATGAGGAAAGAGTAGGCATTGAGAAATAGGAGAGTCAAGTAATGGAGACAGAAGAATATTGTGTCAAGTCTCATACTGATCAAAAATGCTTCTCTGATCTCTGTAAATTTTTCATTGCCAATTCATTTGAATTCTTGCTCATATATCATATATATATTTTTTTGAATATATAAATAGATATAGTATGAAAATAACTGAAACTGTTTTTCTTCCCTTCCTTACAGACATCTCTTACATTCCCCTGGAAGGTATGAGGATCTCAAAGCGTTCTTCAGCGATCACAAAGCTTCCTTGCCGCTCTCCAGAGAGGGATCGTGGGAAGGTATCGCCTCGGTGCTTCACAATTCGTCCAGTCCAGTCCACAATGCATCACCTGTAACCAGCTCATTTCAACTCACTCCTCCAAGCTCAGATGAACACCATCCACATATGAAGGTAGGTTCAATTTAAAAATGCATAGTAGTGGGTTTTTATGACGAAATTGTCCCCATTTTGCTGTTTACCCAATAATGGGCATTGTCAGTCACCAAGAGTGGACTTCACATTTACAACAGACAAGTCTTGTGTAATGCACTGTGCCCTTTCATACCACCTTATCAAATTCTCATCATATATATATATATATATATATATATCAAATTCCCTCACCGTCGAGATATAGGCAAGTTGGAGTACTTTGCGGTGGGAAAATGGGTTCGCTGCTTCTGAGATGTTTGCACACACAGTTATATTAATTGGTAATTCAACCAAATCTAGTGTCAGCGAATTAGGATGCAATACACATTGACACTGACAACTGTTAGGCTTGAGTATAATCAGGTTTATGTTGTAGTTGGCCCCACTTTACATCAAGTATACGTTAACATAAATTGTGAATTTCTAGACATTTAAGCAATTCAATGGACTGAGACACTCAGCCTATTTTGAACATAAATATTTCCTGTTATGAATCGCACACAAATGATTTATCCATCTAATCATTTGTTTTCTTTTGTTTCTCAAAAGATCACACATCCGGCAGGATGCTTCAGTCAGTTTCTTAGTTTCTTTGGAGAGCAGATCTTCACCTTGTGGAAATACATCCTCCTCAGAAAGAGAGTTCTCTTCTTTTCACCGCCTCCCATAGGTGTTGTTTGTTATAAAGGTAGGAATACTCCCAATGTATTCATTTTAATTGCAATGTTTGTTTTTTGTAAATCCAAAATGTGATTTATCGTTGTATGAAAAGGACATGTGCATACTTTTGTTTCCTGAAAACATTATGTGCTATGCAGTGCAAACACGCATAGAAAATCAAGTATGAAATACATTTCATGATTTGGTACTTTGAGTGTCTTCATTTTCACTTTTATCTAGTTTTTCCTGTTGAGAAATATTCAATGGGTGATTGTTTCTTGATTATCTGGCCACATGCAACATTTCGTACTGAGTTTCATGATATATCATTGTGGACTGTAAAAAATTACCTTCAGAGACATCGGCCCGTCTCTTGCTGTAAGTTTAATTCTTCCTCTCCTCCCTAACTCTTTTCTTTCATTATATTTGAACTCTCATTTTGCTCTTTCTCATTCTCTTACGTTCTCTTTCTCTCATTCTATCTATCTATCTTCTTCCTTTCTGTAGTTTTTGTCATCTCTGTACTTCCCCCTTTCTCTCCTTCTCTCTCTCCCTCTCTCTCTCTCTCTCTCTCTCTCTCTCTCTCTCTTTCTCTCTCTCTCCCTCTCTCTATCTCCCTCCTCTCTCTCCTCCTCCCTCTCTCTCTCTGTTTTTCTTGTAGTCACACTCACACACATACATGCAAACTCACACACTTTTCTTATATTTTAACCCATCCAGTATACTGTGCAAGTCTGATGAGTCACCACGATATCATCCTCAACTCGGCCATTGAACAGAAGCCGTATTTTTACGTCAATATAGCCGATATTGATACCTTAGAGTCAGAAATGTCCTACATTGCATGTAAGTGTTTGAAATCATTTCAGTTTGTTATTATTTGAGTCATCACCATTTATGTTAGTGTTTGGTTTGATAATGAATGCATAGGTGCTCAATTGGAATTCTTGATTTGATTCGAGTTCATTTATTTACAGGGTTACCCAGTGAGTGAGGGAAACCACCTATCTTTCCCAGAGGTAGTTCAAACATTAAACATTAGTGAATTGATATTATGTGACTGAAAATTTAGAATATGGTTGAACTGTAACTGGTGCACTACATTTAATAACTTCTCACGTGAATTTTTACCTTTCTTGTTCATTTATTTCCTTTTTTTAAAATATGAAATGGAAGAATAAGTAATGGAATGAAATGGTGAATTAAGGAAATATGTAACTTATTTGGTATTATGTGGTATTATGCAAATTATATTCTGTAATCAGTAATCACATAGCAGATACTCCTATTGTAGAGATGCCTATAGGTATTTTCAAGCATTCATACTTGAAATTTATATAATTCATTATTTTACTTAACCCTCCCTAAATTTAAACAGAGGTGTTGATGTTTAGTGGATAAGTCACAGGACTGTAGCTCACAAGGTACGGGGTTCAACTCCCAGCCCAGTATTAATGTCCTTTGACGTCAATCTACATTTGCCACTCTCCACCCGGGAAATACATGGGTCCCCGGTAGAATGTAAACTTTAATGTAGCTTGCTCAGCATTGTGGCGTCTGGCTGGAATGCTCCCCAGGGAGTGGAGAATGTGCATACACTGTCATACCTGCCAACCCTTCCGAATAATCTGGAATATTCAGTTTTTCTGGATTTTTAGGACCCCAAAATCCGGAATATTCAGGATTTTCAAAATTTTGATAAAGCTTGTTTTATCATATGCCGCGATGTGACAGTTCACGTATTGCGTACGTTGAAGGGCTGCATGATTGAGCAGCGCATTTGTACACTTTTTTTGCACAGATTTATTGCGTATTGCCAGTTACACTGCCGCTGCATGTTCGAACGCCTGTTATTAGTACAGATTTCTTATTTTCGAAGACATACCGTGCTAAAAATTCTTAATTCTCATTATCAAATGTTGTGTGCGGGCAAGCCTGAAAAGCGCTTAGAGACATTGTCAATGTATTAAACCCCTTATAAACCTGGAATGTTATCATCATTATTCAAAGGCACAACGGAGAAGATCTTCCAGGAGAAGGAGAGACTGTACGACGTCTACGTCGACAACCAGAACGTAACGACCCACGTAGCCAACCTGAAGGACCTCCTGAGACCCAACGACACGGACAGGGAGAAGTTCATGAGGCTCAATAATCAGAGGGCTACGGCAGTCTTCAATGCTAGGGAGCAGGGGGTGGAGCCCAGCTCAGAGGAGGATGACGAGATCTTTGCCAAGTAAGTTCAAGTCGGGTTAAACTTTTGTGGCTTGCCACAGATTTTAAGCCTGGGTTTAAAGACATCGTTAAACAATGTTAAAGGAAACCTAAACCCAAAGAATAAGTGTAGGTATTCTGAAAAATGAGACGTTAACCTGCACTTTGATGTACAATATTCCTTACGAAAATGTACAAGATATATATAAATGAAGATATTCCTGGCATGAAGTGATGCCTTTCAGCATGTTATGGGCGCAGCCATTTTTTTCAAAATGTGACGTACCTGTTGAAGTTGTACATGTATCATGCACCAAGCTTTAGTTGGAAAGAATTTTTAAATCAATAACAAAACCTTTACTTTTCAATAAAAACAAATAATAACTGAGATGATAGAAATTATATTAGGTGAAAAATAAATAATAGGGCCACAATTTTAACGAAATTCATTTATAAATACTATACTGTAGCAGTTGACAAATCTATTTCATTTATGAGAAACCTTCACCCCAGAAGAGCACTAACTTATTTATGCAATTTGCGTTCTGGCATTTATAGTACAAAGGATAATAGCAGGTGAATGAAATGCTTCATCACCACACACGTCTGGGAAAGAAGCATCCATAAATTTGAGTACATTTACTTGAAAAACGACTTCGCATAGTACGTCACATTATCGAGAAAATGGCGATGCCCATGTCGTGCTGAGAAACAGTACTTTATTTTTGCTTTATACCTCTCTCATACACTTTGGTGGGGAATCTTGTAGATTTATGGGCAGTAATATAATAAATCTCTCAGAATAAGTAAAGTTGTTACCTGGGGTTCGGTTTCCTTTAAATCTGAGATTCACGGCCCTACGTGTTATCAGTGTCTGTGATATGGTGCAATATTGAAGCCCTAAAAAAATTGCGCTTCAAAATGATCAAGAAATGCCTCAAAAATTAAGTCTTTGAGTGACCGGTTTTCCCATACTCGTTTTCCCCAATAGACTGTAGTGTTATGAAAACCGTGAAGAAAACGTAAAATTTGATTTTTATTTCCAATCATAAATATCTTGATAATCAGACAGGCGATCGGCATGTAAATGTCATGGGGTTCCTGACTGACCTAAAGGTTTATAATTATCATTGCAGCATGAGCTAAATCCAGGATTTTTGTTCAGAATGTTGAGACAAAGTTACCCAATCCTGTTAACCCCAAAAGAGTTTTTTTTTTCTCCAGCCATCAGAAGCAATCATAGATCCTTCCCAACTCAAAAGATAGTATTGAAATGAATTTGTCTAGCTTTTGCACCACTTTTGCTTAGCACAAATTTAAAGTAATCAAAAATTCTTGCCTACTTTTCAAGCATATTTTCTTACAGCTGCAATTTTCAAAGGAGCATGAGCCATGAACAGTTATGTTTGCTTTCTCCAGAAGATGTTTGCAAAGTTATCTAAATGCAACTCTCCTTTTCATTTGTTATACATCCGCAGTATTGAATTCTAATAATGGAAAGAAGTTTCCTTGAAGAGGTTTTTTTTTTTTTTGGTTTTTTAAGTTTTAAACAAACAAACCTCTCTCCATGTGTGAGAGATGACAAGCTTGGTCTGTAAATGAGTGAAAAACAATTCAGCCAAGATCTTGAAGTTTTTAAAAATTTGTACCTGTCATGGCTCTTATGGCTTATAACAAGGCAACATCATAGCAGTTACACAAACTATATAAACTGATCTCCTAAAGTCCTCTCCTTTCTCATTTGTTCATGATTCTGCATTGTTTCCCCAGCTTCTTCCTGGAACAGAACAACCACATCTTCCAGACTCTGCATGAGATTGCCACCACTGAAGACAAGTCTCTGACCAACGACCACATGAAGGCCATGGGACTGGATCCCGTCGGTGATCGAGCCTTCATCGTCGACCTCCTAGAACTCTACGGCATCGACGTCATCCTCATGATCGATACCCCATGCTGCCCTGTCTGAAGGGGTCCTAAACCTAATGGCTTGTTCACACTTGACATGGGTGTTCACACTTAACGTGGGTGCTCACACTTAACATGGGTGTTCACACTTGACATGGGTGTTCACACTTGACATGGGTGTTCACACTTGACATGGGTGTTCACACTTGACATGGGTGTTCACACTTGACATGGGTGTTCACACTTGACATGGGTGTTCACACTTGACGTGGGTATTCACACTTGACATGGGTGTTCACACTTGACATGGGTGTTCACACTTAACGTGGGTGTTCACACTTGAAATGTGTGTTCACACTTAACATGGGTGTTCACACTTGACATGGGAAACCGCAGCAGGGGAACGTTTCACAAACCGTCTTAGGTACATGTTCACCCACATCCCATTGAAACGTGCGTGATGTAATTAACACATGTTTCAACGGGATGTCAGTGAATTTGATCTTTTGATCGTTTCATGAAATGATGCCCAGGTTTTTGTTTTACCTGTGAAGTGAATAGCAATTGGGAATGAAACAGAGTAGGTATGCACAACAAAGAGCCTACACATACTTCCTAGAAGATATATATTACTGTGCAGGCGCGTACACAGGGAGGGGGGGGGGGGTTTGGGGTTAAACCCCTCCTCCCCCTTTGGTAATTTTTTGTGTGTAAACCCCCCCTAAATTTCTCTAAAACCCCCCCCCCCCCCCTCTCTTTTGGTTATGGTTTTTTTTGGGTTTTTTTTTTGAAAAAAATTCCCATGGTTGACCTAAAAAGCTGACCTTACCCCCCCCCCCCCCCCCCCCCCCCCCCCCCCCCCCCCAACGGAGCAAAACGTCAAATTTTCAAATTTCGAGACCAAAAAAAAAAAAAAAAAATGTGTCCTCTTACCCCCCCCCCCCCCCCCCCCCTCCCCGCTTATTCAGCGGTCGGCTGAGTCGTTGCGATTTTTTTGGGACCAAAAAAAAAAAAAAAAAGTGACCTCTTACCCCCCCCCCCCCGCTTATTCAGCGGCTGGCTGAGTCGTTGCGAAATTTTCGGCCCGATTTATAAATGTTAAAAAAAACCCCCCCCCCTTGAAAAAAATCCTGCGTACACGCCTGTTACTGTGAAGGTTATTATGCTAGCATCAATAATATATATTTTTAAACGTTGCAATTTTCTGGGTTATATGTGAACAAGCCTTAAAGTTGCTCTGTTGAGTGAAAAAGTGTTGGCTTCTACATCATTTTTTACGTTTTAACAAACACCAGAGGACTAAGGGCATTCATTACCTTGTTACACTGAAATCTTGGTATGATATCAGTACAGTCGAACCTCATTTTAGAAGACACTGTTTAAACAAACTTGCAATATAATTTGGAAATTTGCCGGGCCACTCCTTTGTACTCTGTTGTTTTTTAGCCCTGATATAACAATGTTTCAATTTTATTAGATAATTTCCTTAGTCCTGAGTTTGTTATGACAAGGTCTCACTATGATTATGATAAATACAGCTATATGTATAAAGCGCTATACCCTGTGGATAAAATTGATAGAATTCTATATTTCCCCAGCTTCGGCTAAATAACCATGACAAGGTTATTGAGCCCTCAAGAATTGTTTCAATGAGTTCCCACTTATTCCACCTGTGTTGAGAGTGGCAAATTGAGGTAAATGCCTCACCAAGTCATTACCATATGGTACAAAGCAGCTTTAATTGATTGTTTCCATCATGTTTGAGAGATTTGATTCAGGAGTGGTTTTTAATTGATTTATTTGGATTGATTTGGAAGATGTTTTGCTAAAGTTTTGAACATAAATGAAATTTTGAATCTGATCATTGTAAGTTCTATAAGCATTCAGAGTTGCACATTGTTAGACTTTACAACATTAACCTACATACATGACGATGGGAGAAAGTGACCTTGACGTTTTAGTATTGTGTTATCTTGCAGAGTAAATGGATTCATACTTGTAATTTTTAAATTATTGTGATTTTCTTGTGAAATTGGTCAGGTTACAAATGATTATATCAAGCCAACTATATATGAAATACATGTGTATCCCACTCATAAAATATGAGTGATCGCTATTGATTGAAATGAAGCGATGACAAAAATATCAATATACCTGTCTACATGTATGATGTTTTAAGATGATTTTTATAGAAATTTGGGATGAATTTGTAGTAGAATTAACTGAAATAACAAAGGCACAAAGTTGTGCGTGAAAGATAAGTTAACACATTTTTTAGAAAGAAATTAGAGAGTTTGTGTCAGTGCAATGAACGTATTCAACTGAATTTTATTTGCATCTAGGCAATCACTTTGTCACACTCAAAATATAGATAGGAAAGATTTGATACTTCTACTTTGCTTATTTATTTTCTAATTTTCAAATAAGTTTGTGCAATATTGTCGTTTCAAACAAAGCACTCTCTTTTATGCAATGATATCGTTTTCATATTCAGATGAGTTGCTCTCTTATATTTTCCGTGCATTCCTCATGTTGGACCTTTAAATTATTTGAAAGTACTAATTATAATAACAGAAATAATTGTGTTCTCATTATTCCTTTCTGAAATTGTTTAAATGTTATTAGTGTCTTTATACACAAGTATCATAGCTCAGTGTTACAAGCAATTATCTTTGAATCAGTAAGTTGTTGTTAACTTGATTCACAACCCAGTTATTCCTTTCCGTTATGCATGTTATCCAAAATATTGTAGTGCTTCTAGTAAGCTTCAAGATATGTATCTGTTATGGATTACCAACAAGCAAATTTCGGTGGATTCATGATGTTGCTGGTGAGGCACAATTTTGTGTCAATTATATATTTAACAAGCCTTTTTTTTTAACAACAGTCCTTGGATTTAGGCACATTTGTGTCTCAAGAAAAATGTACCGGTATATCAAATTTGAACCATATGCAGGTAAATACATATATCAATTGATATCAATCAACTACATTTCAAATTGCTTTGTTTTGTTATTAGCCTGGCAAGATCTTTAGAAACAAACTTGATTTGAGCCAGGTGGAGATATATCATACCTTGCTGTAATTTTGATTTTGATTTTGATTTATTTTTTTTTATTTTTTATTTTTTTTTAATTTTGTAAATGCTGTATATTTCCAATTTTCATTCAAAGTCTGCTTTGTAAGTTTGGGTTATATTGTCAAATGCCTTGAAACATTTCTGTAAAGTCCAAAAGATATCACCATCCGTACACATTGTAATCTGAAAAGTATATTGATTAAGAACCAATTTCAATCACTATTATTTACTGCCTCCAAGAAGGCAGTCAAGGCCCCTCGGCCCAGCGGTGGCAAGAAGAGGAATCGCTTTTTTGTGATTTTTCAAACATTTTCCAATTGTTATTTCATGAGTAGCAGCTTGAAATATTTGTCTTTTGCATCTCTCTTTTCTGTGCATTGGAAGAAAGCCCTATAAATGTTATTGATGATAATAATATTTAGTATTATGTAGGGTATTCCCCAGCATTTTCTCAAAATATAGGCTTTGGGAATATTATATGAACCATTTTATTTTACTATGAACAAATGTGCCTATTTCACATGACACATAACAAAGAGATTTTAGATTTTATTACATGTACCCTTTTTCATTAATCATTACTGTTGCATTCTATGCAATTAATGCAATTAATGGGTGATACATGTTACTGTTATTTTCTTTTAAACCAGGTATTCAGAGAGTTATGAACATATTCATTGCTATTCCTTTAAAATGATCCCATTATGCTTTCCTTCATATCTACCTGTTACAGTTTTCATGTGTAACCCCTGTCCAGGGGGGTGTTTCACAAAGATCCTAAGTAGGACTTAACACTAAGTTGGACTTAAAAATTATGGACAGCCATTGGAGCCTTAAAATGAAATATATTCAAAAGCAGAAATTCAAGTATTTTAGACTTTTTATAAATTCCACATCAAGAACATAGAATCTCCCATGATAATAGAAAATATGAATGATTTGAATCAACATTTTATGCCTTCTAAAAAAAAAATTACAAAATGTTTTCAAGGATGCTAATGGCTTCCCATAAATTTTAAGTCCAACTTAGAGATAAGTTCAACTTAGGATCTTTGTGAAACACCCCCCAGGACATATTGAAATTATTTGATTTTACTTGTTCAATGAGTTTGGTAACAGATACTTCATATCTATTAGAAATATAGCTTTGTTTTGTCCAAATGTTGTATAATATTCTGTCTTCAATTTGTGGCGGTGCATTGATGTGGAGTCCACATGCACAAATATTGATTTATAAATATCTTACCTCTTTGCAATTGTCACATTCTATGAACAAATGATGCTCTTTGTCTATCTTCTTTATATCATGTATTTAATTTAAGATATAGTCGGGAAGTACTTTTATTCTCGCACCTTATATTTTTATGAATTGTCCAATTTTAAATAGTATTTTTGAGTTGTTATACCTTTTAAGTTGTTAAGTACAGACTAGTGAGACGTGACGACAATGTCCAAGCAGCAATTTTTAATGGTGGAATAATTATTTCGTTAGGTTAGGTTAGGATTCGATTTAGAATTAGCTTTGTTTTAGTTAATTTTTATTCACTTATACCACATGGGAGTTTGTGCAACATTTTATAGCCATATTCCTGTATGGATTATGTGGGTGGCTGGTGGTAAGACAAATATGAAATGATTTTTGTCATATGATAAACATTTTGCATAGGTATATTTTTTTTAATGAATGTTTCTTGACTTGCATGACCATTGCTTCCTTGCTTACCAGTATTAGAGCATATGGTTAAGGGAAGTGTTATCTTTGGTGTAAATTTGATCAATTTGTTACATGTGGCATTCATTATTTTGCAGTTCAAGTTGTTTGTGGCCTCAGTACTCTGATTAGCTCAACTCGTCTTATCTTGTCCTTTTGTTTTGAAGATGCTACTTAATCGCTGTGTTCATTTTCAAGAAAGTGTAAATATCAAGCTACTGACTGTTTCTGAACAATATGCATCAAATCATTGCCATTCAATTTTTGTTAAAGATGCAGAATGAAGATGTACATTTATATATATAGTATATTTGTTCAAAGGGATTTGTAGCCATATTTTATTTTTATCATTTGAAACAGGTGGACACTAAATATTAATACTGTATCATAGTGCAATAGTTGTGTATTGTATACATTGCTTATGTCATGAAACATTTTATTAAATGACTTGACAAAAACCAAGCAATTTGTGTAGGTCATTGAGTTAATCTGATTTGATGCAAGTGGACAATCAAGCAGGGGTATTGAATATTGGAAGGACTGCCAAGATATTGAGGAAAACAAAGCAGAAGAACCTTTAAGAGAAGGGGTAGGTAGAGAAAGTGGGAGAGAGGGGGGAGGGAGGCACAGATAGTGAGAGAGAGAGAGAGAGAGTTAGAGAGGGAGAGAGAGAGAGAGAGAGAGAGAGAGAAAAAATGTCTACACCAGTAGCTTTTAACTTGTAAATAGATAAGTTGCACTTTAAATAATTAAAGATACACATTATATAATACAAATAAGTGGCATATAGTGGGTAGAGATTAGAGAAATTGGAGGGCACTGGAGCCTTGGAAGGGGAGGGGGGCATTTATCTTTCTTTGCAGATGAAAAACGAGAGAGCAAGGTATTCAAGTGAGGGGAGGCAGTGGGAGCTAAGGTTGTATTATCGTTTCAAAAAGACTTCCTTTTTTTCTTTATTTTCTTCTTCTTCCTTTTGAGTACAGATAAGACCTCTTTACAGAGTATTATCGTACTATACTGGCGGTGTGTGCAGGTGGACCACTACACCAGGGTTTCCCCCTACTCTTATATAGTGCAGTGGGTTCTTAACGTGCAAAGCCAATTGACTCTTCTCTACACGGGGCCTCCATTTAACATCCTATCCGAGGGACGGAGTGTTTTCCACTTGACATAACCTGCGTCTATGAACAAGGGAAGGTGCACGTTAACACACAACGCAGGCTTCAGTCATCCGCCTGGGTGGGAGTCGAACCCGGGATCTTTGGTTCAACATACGGACGCTTTTCCGACTGAGCCAACTCTCTTTTTCTATATGCAATAAAGTAGGTTCCCCTTGCATCAGCATCTTCTCCAACTTATTAAACCATGAGATTAACTTCCTTTATCATTGTACAGAGTGATTCAAATTTGACACCTTCTGACTAAACATAATAAATACTCAAGTTTTGTTCTTGGTTATCTCTCAGTGTGAAATTAGAACCTTTTTTTTTATATCTGTAATTTGTATTTATCTCACACATGCAAGCACCCCATTTTTTTCTTACCTCTTATATCCAAACATCTTCAATCGGATAAATATCTCGAAAGTAGCTTCGAAAAATAATACAAAATACGATATAATTCGATTGATAATTCGATGTGAAAAAGATCATTTGTACCCAATTTTGTTGCACTGTAAGTATTTGTATTTTTCAGTGCATGCGTTGTTTGTGTACTAAAATAGAATATGCGTAAGTGCACTGCCAAATCGCTCTGTTGTACGAAACTAAATCTGACAAATTCTGGCAAAAGTCGGTCAATTTGTTTACATTTAGCTGCTAATTGGTAAGTGTTTTAACAATTTTGCTAGCTGTAAAGATTAAAATGTTTTACTAACTTGTCAGATAAGCTAATATCAGGTACATTGGACCAAAATGAACGTTACTCGGGAATATTTTCGATTTGTGGTCCGGGTCATTCGTCGGCTGCTAGACAATGCGTGTATAGGCCAGCTGCACTAACCCAATGCCGAGGCTGGCCCGGGCTTTTGCCCTAGCGCTGCACTGGAACCTAACAAAATAAGTGATTGGTCTACTGAAGAATGAAGAATCTTTGGTTTTTATCTTTAGGAGGATATATTATTTAGTGAGCGCTAGTGATCTGGACAGGAGACAATTGTGTCACACGCATGTATGTTGTAGAAACGGTTGTCGGAGATGAAAACGGGCACTTAATTAATAAGAGGGAATACAACGGAAAAAGGCACTGGTCAAAATATTATAGATCTAAGGTAGGCACATTCATGGGGCACTAGAGGGCGCTTTGCGCGCGTACGAAAATCTGAATGGCCTTGCTGCGGTGGGTCGGCAATAATCAGCCCAAAACTTGGATATGGGAGGGTGGAAGGATATATCTTTTTTATAATGTTATCTGGTCTTACCCTTAACCATCCTATGTTTAATCTATGTAGAAATAACATGCGAGTACGATAAGAGAAACATCGGGCCCATTACTGATGCAACTTTTAAAATATTAGCCTAGAAATGACCACCAAACGGAAAAAATTGACATTTTTTCCCGACAAATCTTCATAAAATCTGATTTATAAACAAAATATATCCTAAAATATCACATTTTAGCGATGTAATCGGCGGTCCCGCTACCCAAATCTGAAAAATCGAGTTTCTTACGCGTGTATGTAAGAAATATGGGTACCATAAAATGAGCTTTATTTCAAGTATTTTTCAGATATAGAGCCCGATTTTGTGCTGGTCGCAAGCTCAAAAGTATCTCATCGCATGTATTAAATCAATGCAGCCGCACACCGCGACGCACACACGATATGTCTGTCTAATTCAGATTCCAACTTCCGATCACCGCTGTGCCTGTATTCGGCCAGGCGAGCACCCGGGAGCTCCGGCGTGGGATACTTGCTCCGCCCGCTTGTGCTATACATCAGCGCAGAAACGCACGGCGCGCGCGAGCGCTTCCTATTGACTTTGTACATGCGGCCGTAAACTGAAACGCTCGGCCGATAACCGGCTCCAAAACAGTGAAAATTGAAATGAATATTGTCATGGCAATTCGTGATTTTTTTTTGGGATTCTTTTTTTGTTTAAATAATAATAATATTTGCTTCATGATTTGAACAAGAAATGATAATAAATAGGAAGTAAAGAGTCCAATAAATAGGATTTTGTCTTAAGTGGCCGAAAACCGGGTACTTTACTCTAGGTACACTAATACAAATACGATTTTCTGAAAATTCAGGTATTATTTTTTAAGTTTCTTTCAAGTATATTTCTGCGCATTGCAGCGCCAATGTTCTTCACTGCTTCAAATTCACCCTTGAATTTTTTTTTTGCAACAAATTTGTTACGAGGTCCGCGAGTGTTCCCCGTTCCTTGCGTGTTGAAAGTTTGGTAATACATAGTTTACATTGACTCGCGCACGAAAAAATGGTCGAAAACAAAATGTCAAATGAAGAAATAAACAAGCTTTTGTATAGTACTTATAAGAGTTCTACCAAGGTTTCTTTGTCGATTTAATTTATTATATAGTCTCAATTAGAATTCAGAATTATCTCACTGAAAAGTTAAGAAACCGACGATGTTCTCGATCGTAGTTATTTTCATTTTGCCAGCAGCCGATCTAGCGTTGTTTGGGCAAAAAGCTAGGCCGCTGCCTTCCCACCTCGAACCTTTCCGAGTCCCGCTAAAATGGCGCTCTGCGGAGCTCCGAAGCTGCGTTGGTATCGCTGCAAACTCTCAGCCGGCCAGCTCCCCACGACGGACCATTCGCGGTATGGCGAGAGTGTGTGTGTGAGGTATGATTTTGGATTCGAGAACGCACGTAATGCAATCGTGCGCGTCATTTTCAGCTGTCGAATGTATACGACCAATTTTACATGTACGATTTTTAGTACAGATACTTGGTCAGTTTTCTTCTTATATCTTTGGTTTTACAACATTTAAAAATATAATTTCTTCAAATTTGCTCCTGACTCGGTTCAGACTAATTGTGTGATGTGTTTTCAAGTCAATTTTTTGAATATATTTTTTTACATGAATTTGCCTATCTAAGGGACACCTATCAGATTTGACAAGATCAAGAGGCAATTATAAGAGGTGAAGGGGCACTTATTACAAAGGAAAATGGGCACATGTCAAAGGTATATGGGCATCTATGAGTTTTTAACAAGAGGTATATATCGGAGGTGTCAGAAGTGGCAAGTGGCAAGTGGCTCTTATTAAAAAGAAAAGGGCACTTGTTAAAGTAAAATTAGCTTGAAGATTTGAATAGGGCCAATTACCATAGGTGAAGGGGGCACTCAAATATCAGAGGTGGTAAGAGGCAATTATTATAAGAACATGCAATGACAATTATTAAAAGTAAAAAAGGGCACTTTAAGGGGTAGGCCTACCTGAAAAGTGTTGGGCTATGGAGCCCTGTGCGAAAATGATTCTTCTCTAGCTTCTAAAAATCAACCCGAAAATTTGTGTTGCGTCCTATGGGATGCATTTACTCACCGCTTTTGTAAAATTTGTGTGAGAGAATTGGTTTTTGGTGAGTCCGGGACGCAACTTGGCGCAAACCTTGCCTATAATTGCTTTACGAAAAAAACCTGCCACAAACTTTAGAAATATGTGACACTAGTAAAAATGTGCATGAGACTAACTTTGTTTGGTAAAATTTGCATATAAAAATTTGCGTAAATATGAAGAAAAAAAATTATTTTATGAATCCACAAACTGCCGAATCCAAAGTTGAAACAAACATTCATTCAAGATATTTCATCAAGCTAATCCTGTCCTCTTACACCCAAAGTATTATGTGTGTTTTTCTGAAAATGAGATCTTTATAATCCTAAACTTCTTCTTCCTTTCTTCCCACTCTCGCTTACATGTATTTGTACTTCAATCATATACTGACACTGTAATTCTATCATCTCTTTCCTTTTCAGGATAAATGGATCAAGATGGACAAACATATTTGCGGAGCCTGTGGGTCAGATTCCTCCACCATAGAAGATTTCATACGCCACAAAAGGTCTGAATGCAAATGGGTCCCTACAACCACTCAAGTTGTCAAAACTATTGGCCTCAACTTGTCTACACCAACTCGATCCCAAGCCGACTCAACTCAAGGCCAGACTAGACAACATCAGAGAGTTACTTCAACAACCCCTGTAGAGACAAGCTCAGATATTCTAGAAGGATCACCTAGTACAGAACCAGAAGAGACAGGGAGGAAGAAGAAGTCAAGGAAAAGGAGTGCTGAAGCGCCTCCTAGAGGAGCACCAAGAAAGAATCCAGGAGAAAAGAGAAAACCTAAGCAATACGTCAAACAGTTTAAATGTGACTTTGAACTCTGTAAGTTTGTGACAGCTCATCAGAAAGATTTGCACCGTCATCGAAGGATTCACACCGGGGAGAAACCATTCAAATGTCAGTTCTGCGAGAAACGATTCTCCAGAGACGATAAGAGGAAGATTCATGAGAGAGCCCATACAAAGGAGAAGCCCTTTGCTTGTGAACTGTGTACCTACAGGTGTGCCGATGGGGGAAGCTTCAAGAAACACATGCGTGTCCATTCAGGTGATAGACCCTACCAGTGTCAACTCTGCTCCTACGCCAGTCGCAATTCAAGCCAGTTGGTTGTCCACCTGCGCCGCCACACCGGTGACTCGCCGTTCCACTGCCAGCAGTGTGATGCAAAGTTTAAAACCAACACCGATCTGAAAAGGCATACCCTCATTCACACAGAAAGCAAACCATTTGGCTGTGATCAGTGCAGCTACAGATCTCATTTCAAATGCAATCTCAAGTCCCACATTCAGACCAATCATAGAGGGGAAGTGAAGTACAAATGTGATAAGTGTCAATTCCAATGCAGAACTCGAAAGCAGATGGACAACCATGCAAGTTGTGACCATAGCGCATCTTCCAAAACCAAAACAAGCATGGAACCTTCCGAAAATAATAAACAGAAGAATTACAGGAAAATGTTCTTGTGCGAATATTGTCCATACCATGCAAAGCACAATATTACCCTGTTGATGCATACAAAGAAGAAACATCCGGATGAAGGGAAAGCTGTGGAAACTTCAAATATGAAGACACCAACAAAAAACCGGATGGCCAAAGCTCCTTCCAAATCAAAGAAAGCGTCAAGGAAAAATGTGAGAAGCTCTAAGCCAGCGATTCCAGTATTTGATGGGAAAAAACCATGGTCATGTGAGGATTGTGATGCATCATTTGTTAGGGAAGACTCCTACAGGAGTCATAGGAGACAGCATGAACAGCTCCAGGAGAACGAGGGTACAGAACATCAAGTGCTGCAGAACACTCCAAGGGCATTGGAAAAGGGATGTGATGAGAGATGTGCTGACTCCTCAAATCTTGATGATGCTATTGTGATTACAGTAGACAAAAACTCTCAACCAGTTACAATGGATCTTGGTGGGAGTGAACATTGCCATCCTAGAATAACTGAGAATGTGTCTTCGAGAAATAGTGCTTCGCAGCTTGATGATCAAAGTACTGAGAGTTATCCAAGTACCAATGGTACACATGTATCAGGTTCTTCTTCCGCTTCTTCTATGGGTACCTTCTCAATACCTGACCCACTTTCAACGGGTGCAGAGGTCTGTATCTCAGGAGACACTTCATTGACCATCTCAGCTACAGGTCATGACAACCCTGCAGACAATGCAATAAACGTTCTTCCAGAGTCCAGTGAGCCTCGAGTTGCAACCTGTCAAGGAAAACTAATAACAATGATGCCAGTCAACATGAACAGGACGTCCTCTGAACTTTCCGCTCATGTGTTGTCTTCAGGGATCATTGTAGCACAGGACTGTGACACTTATGTTCAAGAAATTGGCGATGATGGACAGCTGCAGCAGAGTGAGGCCATTCAAACTCAGACGCTCGGCTATGGAACCTCCAACATTCCAGTCCTTGTGTCTACTATGTCTCATTCTCCCACTGCTGCTATTTCAAGTTCTAGTTCACCTTGCCAAACTGTTTTCATCAATGCCATGAAGGCTTCTCAGAATGAAAACAATGTTGTAGACAATGTTGGTCTGAGCATTCCCCAACCACCCAATGCTACTTATGTCTCGCTTTCAAATATTGGTATCAGAGGAGTAAAGACCGTACCAGTGATTTGCGCTAATCAGCCACAAACAGTTCAGCCAGCCTTGGCAACGGGCACAGTTCAACAAGTTGCTCACAAACACCAACAACCGCAGATACTTGCGGGAGCTGAGCAGAATTGTTTTGGAACTGTGAACATTGCTACAAACAACAATGCAGTGACCGTCAACCCAGCCAGCTTGACCGTAACCAACCTCGGTGTATCCTTATCAAGTTCAGTCACTGGCTCACAGCCACCCGGTCAGATTGCCATGCATACATCGTCTTTACCGACAAGAACATTTATTTTGAATGGAAGGGAGCTGAGCCAGGCTGGTCCAGCGATGGGGGTGACTTCTGGAGCGATCATCCTGCCCAAAGTGCCTCAATAGCCGTACTTCATATGGTGCTCGTCTGGTGTCAGGAGCGACAAGACTGAAACTGCAAGGTGAGTTGTAACAAGAGACCCTTGAAGGGGACCAATCACCTAAAAATATTTGAATAAACATGTATGTTTGGGATTCCATTCTTGATATCATCTTGGCACCAAATTTTGCTTTTTTGAAGAGATACATGGGAAGTTTAAATTAGTCTAGTTTAAATACAAAGATAAATTAATTAAGATATTAGCATCTTGTGAGTAGAGTAATTGATGCAATTGTACTATAGACACAAGCGCATGTTACTTACGTCTGAGTTACCTTCTGTGTCTGCCTTGATCTAAACTATTTTTTTTCCCACTGTGGTGATTTGTCTTCTAATGGTATACAAATTATGGTTGTGGGTCCAATTTAATAATAATAATAATAATAATAATAATAATACTGGGTTCTTGTATAGCGCTCATGTCTGTCAGGTTTGACACTCTTTGCGCTCCCGATTATTACCCTGGCTTTAGCACAGCTACCATCACGGCGTTCTAGCATTTCAAGGCATTAATTCCTGCAAGGTACCCATTTACATCACCTGGGTTGAGTGTGGCAAATGTAGATCAATATCTTGCCAAAGGACATTAGTGCTGCGGCAGGACTCGAACCGCGGACCTTGTGATCGACAGTCCGGTGACATATCCACTCGACCATGACACTTCTAGTTTTTGCAATATTATATACAGCATATGGGCCACTTCTCAAATTTGGGGAGAGTTGGTAAAAAAAATTCTGCTATATGGCCGGTGACATTCTTTGCAGAGTTATTTTATGCTGTCAGAAAATATGACAATTAGTTCTACAAGTGTAGTAAACTTACCAAATGTGAACTAACCAATGTGGTTAGGAACTTTTGATGATTCCTGTACATTTGATTTATATGCAAGAGACCAACCAGTACTCTTAGCACCACTTTCTATAAGATAAGAATTTTGTTGTGTACTTTCACAATTTGTTTGAATGGCCTCCAGCAGAATTCACTTTCATCATTCAAAATTCTGTAAATTAGGATGTATGCAGTACACAAAACTTTGGGCTGGTAGGAATTTATTCCTTGAAATGCTAGAGTGCCATATGACAGCCATGCTAAAGCCAGGGTAATAATCGGGAGTGCCTGGAGGGTCACATCTGACTGACATGAGCGCTATACAAGAACCCATTATTATCATTATTATTAAACAAAATGTAGACTTATTTCAGATATCACATTTCAATATTCCACAAAATACTGAAGTTAATTCACATTTTTTAACCAAAATAATCCATAGAAAGAGAAGAAGAAAAAAAAGCAAAGACTCTGTGCATTGTAGTTTATAATCCCCTGCCCCCCCCCCCCCCCAACATAATACTAATTTGGAAGTAACTATGCTGTAGCTACATGTACATGCACCTGTAATAGACCTGTGTTAACTCCTTTAGTGCTATGAGCAGTGTACACTCTCTACATTTTTATTACACTTTCCTCAGCAATTAAAAAAAAAAATTGTCTGTTAAATTGTTTTTCATCAAGTTAAATAAGATCATTATATAAGATTTGTATCATCACATGATACAAAATGTATAATGAGTTATAAAGATAAAAATTGCCAGTTTACAAAGTATAATCTGTGTTATACTAGTAACAATTCATAAACTTGATGGCATCTGGAGGGTTTAGATTACTATTGCTTATTCTTAAGACAGTTTGTAAAGTATAGACAGTTTGTAAATGTTAACACAGTACACACTCACACTGTGCACAAGAAAGTTTCCTTAATCTTTTATATTCAATTCTAAATCATCCTTATTATTATTATTATTAGGCATTTAGCTACGCTATTCATAGTACACTATATCACAGCGCTTACAATAATAACCACAAATCATAACATAACATAACATTGAACAAACAAAAAAAATAGCGAATCAAGTAGGAAATAAATAGGTTTTAAGGAGTTTCTTAAAAACATCCACTGATGCAGCAGCTTTGATACTGGAGGGAAGTTTATTCCACTCCTTAGCTGCTGCAACAGTGAATGTGCGATCTCCTGCCTTACTACGAGCCACATGAAATGTCAGTCGAAATGGGTCTGCATTGGAGCGAAGGTTTGTACGTACAGGTTGATACAACTCAAGACAGTCACTAAAATACTCTGGTGCCTGATCATGAAAAAATTTGTATACAAATAAAAGAATCTTAAAACCAATCCTCTGTTTGATTGGCAACCAATGAAGGGATGTTAGTAGAGGCATGGCATCGTGACGACGGTCTAAACGAAAAATAATACGAGCCGCCCAGTTCTGTAAACTTTGAAGTCTTCTTATATATGTTTGAGGGACTTCTGTAAGCAACCCGTTACAATAATCCAACCGGGAAAGAACATGGCTGCGAATCACATGATGACATGCATCTTCAGATACATACTTCCTAATCTGTGATACATTCTTCAACTGATATCGTACAGATTTACAAAGCTGGTCTATTTGGTTAGACATGGACATATTGCAATCAAAAATGACACCAAGGTTCTTGACCGATGTAGATGGTGCAATCTGGGTGGTTCCGAATGTAAGATTAACATCATTAATGTTTCCCAAGTTGTGTTTGGAGCCGATTACCAAAAACTCTGTCTTTTCCTCATTTAGTTTAAGCTTATTCCTTCCCATCCACATACTTATATCTGTGACACAATCTGAAAGAGTTTTTAATGCAGTATTTAAGCCATTAGGTTGCTTAGGGTTAAATGTAACATACAACTGTGTATCATCAGCGTAAGTGTGATATGAAACGTCCTTAATTTTGTAAGAATCTCATCAAAACTGGCAGATACTTCTGCATTAAGAATAAGAATATCTTCGACAAATTTCATGTCACCTTCTTTCCAGTATATATATTACTCTGTCATTTCATGTTTACTATAGAATCTGATCTTGTTTTTGAAAATCATGCTTTCCAATGAAAAAGAAAGAGAAGAACAAGATCAAGTGGGCAATGAAGTGGCAGTATGAACTACATATGTTTTAAAAATTGTTATATTGCAAGTTTGCAACTCAAAAAAAGGAGAGAAAAAAAATCTAGAGCAATCGAACAGAGAAGTGGCTCTATATGAACCACATACTGCATTTTAAAAATTAGGTGTTGTAGCTCAATAAATAAAAAAGAGAAAAAGTGGGGCAATCGAATGATGAAGTGGCTGTATGGAGTCCGTCGCTGGTGGTATTCATGACTCAAGAGGGCGATGATGTCAAATCAGCGCTATCACTTTGAAACCTGTCCCACTATAAGTGTAGTGTCCTAAGGCCAAGCACTCTCTTCGTATTGCTCCGCATTGGATTACACTGCACGCCCAGTTTGATTGACAGGCCGAGTGAGCTGTCTTCATTTGCATAATAATGTGTGTCCGTGTGACTGGAAGGGGGAGGGGCCTAGTAGCGTAGCTCTTAAACTTAAAGCTTATCTTGAGTTTGGGTAATGGAATTGCTTTTTAAAGAGAAACTGGATTGAAGGCAGTCGCTGTTGTTTATCGAGCAGTAGAGGGGTTGTTTTGACCGGCGAAATAAAAACATCAAAACTTGCAGGAAGTGTTATTCACTGAAAAGCAAAACTCTTTCATGTACAATGTATAAGACTGTATGTTATGTGAACATTGGTCAGGAACTTATTGTCTCATTATTCAGGTCATCCTGTTTCTGCCAAACTTGTTTGCAGGTATTATTTTGTTTGTAGCCTTGAATAATCAGCACAAGTTTTGTTTCGTTAGATAATATAAGAATCTAATTTGTATCATTAAGAGAATTCAATGTTAAAGTAATTACCTACAAGTTTTTTCTTTTCTTTTTGTTTTCTGTTTTTTAAATAATTTTTACAATAGTGTTAAATAGTGAAAGTAAGTTTGATTATATTTACAATGAACATGTTGCATCTCAAACTGAAAAACCATTTGCTTATAAAAGCAATCTACACATTACCTCATTATGTATGGCAAAATAAACAATGAAAAAAAATGAGGATTATTATTCAATAATGTGTTGCAGGCTTAGCAAAATTTGTAATTGATGTATGGCTAATTTCTGACACTATAGATAACTCACATGTTTTTTTCTTCATATTTTGGACATGTATTAGCTTACCTTCTTTTATTTGTCATGAAAAACTTGGTTTAAATAAAGATAATCATTCTAAAGAGCTTCATTTTTAACTAAGGAGAAATTAATTTTGGAAATATTTTTCTTTACAATATACATGTAAATAGATTACTTTATTTCTGCATACCGGTAATATTATGCAGAAATAAAATAATTCATTCACATTTCAAGTAAAAAAAGTTTATTCTTTTCTAAATTGCGAATTTCCTTTTAAGATATTTTGTGTGAAAATATCAGCCATGTATATTGAAGTAGTAAACTACAGGTCTTATTCCTGCCATTCAGCTTGTACAGCCCCTTTTAAAACACCATCAAATACTATGAAGAATGCAGAAAATTGTGTCATGTCTTGATGGGATGTACCTGTATGATCTGAAAGAGATGGTAAGGGAGGGATACTTAACAAGAGAAAAGTTGAGACTGAGAGGAAAGAAAATTCAGAGAAGTGGACATCAACAAGTGTTTAACATCTTAGTAAGAGCAGTATTTTGAAATCACATTTGATGGGAGAAAACTTTTGCAGATCCATACATTCTTACAATTCTGTATCCCATATTTGATTTAGTAAAGAAAGTAGCAATCATTTTCAAGTACGATCCAAATTAAAATGAGATACTTCCAAATTTGTTCAGTATAACAAAATCTTTTCATAAAAATATAAATACATGTTCCTGCCCCCACAAATGATTAACATGTAAATACCTACCCCATTTGTCCCTCCCTACTACTTTGCATCTGTTTGCTTGCCCTCTATGAGAAGTTAACTTGGACTTGACAGTGGAGCCAGCGAACACATCAAGCAGCATTTGGCTGCTCCACTACTTCACGGCATAATTTCCCCCATGTTTTTGTAAACCGTTAACCTGAAAATGAACAAGGAAAACATGTATTAAGC